ATCCCCACCTAGCAGATGAAGTAAGGTAGTGAGAGGGGTCACACAAAGTGGCATAGCCAGATCTAACCCAGACAGCTTCGTCAAACCCTCAAGCTCACGCATGCCACCATTTTGCCCCCAGAGTTAGGAGTAACTAAAGTCCCACAGAATGATGTTTTATATTTATTAATGTCAATTATTTCTCCAGGGTGAGGCTACATAAGATTTCAAGGGCAGAAATTAAAAGTCCGTTTTCATGGATTATGCTGAGAACACATCCCAGCAGTTGTTCCTCCCTTTTTCCCACACTTTCCCAGAGATTTTTGTGATTATCTCCTTTCCAGTGCTCATGGCTGATCTGTGTCTAGAGGCCACCTGCCAGGTTTTCACTGCTCTGGGTAAACCATCAGCAATTAAACGACCTTGTTCCAAAATGATGCCGCCTTTTATTGGTGGTGTTGAAGTAGCCAAATGATCTAATCCCCAACCTTCTAACCTGCCTTCCCCTCTCTCTCCTCCTGCTTTTTAATTGGAACTATTGGCTCCAGGCAGTGAGAATGAAAGTAAATGAGCTGTGAATGAATTGAATTCGTAACCCCTCCCCCACCGCCCACCGCCATTGCAATTTAATAACAAATATTCTGCCACCATGTGCTGACCTCCCTCTTTATCTGGATGGCAAACTCCATCTCCAGTTGAGGTGGTCTTGGAATGAAAATGTAGCCATTAATATAAGCTTGCTTCTCCTGGTTGGGTCTGTGCTTCTTACACAGGGCCATGGGAGAAATGCTTGGGAAGTTGTTACCCCTAAAGATTTTAAAACAAATTCTCTCTTACCTCACTACCCCTTGCCTTCATTGTTTGTGTGAAATCATTTAAGCCGCTAGTGCTGCCTGGGGTTTAGAAGATTGTGCCATACCTGATGCCACTGGGTTAGGTTGTCTCAAGACGGCCTCTTTTGGATCGTCGTGGTCACAGTCCCCAAAGTAGGTCTCAGATGAATGTCCCTGATCTTCCCACACTCTGCTAAGCTTAGGAGGCATTGGCATCAGCAGCTTTCACCCTCCTGGACAGCACCTGGGCTTCCTACCGAGCCTTCTCTATCTGTCACAGGTCACGGGTCACAGTGCTGGAGGGCATAGCAGACATTGCAGTGGTATACCAAAGGGAGAGAACTTCCCCCTTCTCCACACCCCCAAGTCACAGGAAATCCTTTAGTGAGAATTTGAGGACAGGTGGGCAAAAACAAATAGCGAAGCTGTGCCTATTTATATTGTATAAACAGCATTTATAACAGTAAAGAAAATAAAATTGTTTCCCATATTCCTTCAACCAAATGCATCTGTTTTATGACCTCTGTTTCCTTCCAGTTTTTGTTTAATCGTATAAATATTTTTGCCAGTGGTGATCATAGTGTAGATAGCATTTTTGTTATTGTCTTTCTTTTAACATTTCATAAGATGTGTTTCCATGCTCCTACATGGTTTTATAATTATACTTTTAATGACTACGGTAGGGTGTATCGTTACACTTTTATACTCCATTGTTGAATATTTACATTGCTTTCAATACTCATTAAAAATGCTAAATGTAGATATTTATACATATGTTTTTATTTCTTTGATTGTATTGCCATCAGAAATCATGAAATTATTGGGTCAAAGACTATGACTTTATATTTATGGCTTTTGATACATTAAGCCATTTTCTTTACTAAAAGGCTAATATCCATTTACATTGCTACCAATAACATAGTAGTTTTAAATCATAACTTGATGGTAATAGGAGTTATATCTCAAATACTTTGCTAATTTAATGGGAACAAAATGATCCCTTGGTTTTCATTTGATTACTGCTTAAATGAACCTTTCCCCATATTTGTTTAATTGTGTTGCCTCTTATGCGAATTGTGTTTGTGTTCTTTGCATATTTGCTGGAGACTTGGCATTTTTCTTACAGATTTATATGAATAACTGATACCTCCCCAGGGCCATGCAAATTGATGCTTTATATTTAAACATGGTAATGAAAGAAAGTCTGCCAACATAAATTTGATATGTGCTACATAAACACATGTCCTATAAAAATAATACATTTCACAGTGCTTATTATGTGCCAGGCACAATTCTAAGCATTTTACTCAGCTCTGTGAAATACGTATTACTTTATTCCCATTTTAGAGATAGAGAAACTGTGGCAAAAGAGGTTAAGAAACTTGTCCAAACCTAACCCAGTCAGTAAGCCAGGATTCAGAGCCTGGCGGTCTGGCTCCCTCATCTGTGCTGTGACACCCACACTTGATCTCTTATTAGTCAGGGATGAGAATTAGGAAAAGAGGGCAGCGGGGAAGTACTGCTCTTGGGAGTGAATCTGACACATGCATCAGTCCCAAAGACAGTATATTGTAGCCTCTTGCTCCTCTGAACTGATTGCTCACTGTTTAAAATAAATTGAGAAGTGAGCAAATGTAAGAAATAAACTTTTCTGTAGCAAGATACACACCTTGTTTCTTTAGGAATTATTACCAAGGATTTTTTGAAGGTGTGTTTGCATTTTTCCAACTGTATCCCTGCAGAGGCTCCCTTTATTTATTCGAGTCCATTGATTCCTGTTCTCCAGCCTTTTCTCTTGTCAGTTTGTGCTATTAAAAATTATCCCCCGCTTGTGATTTGGTAGGTTTTATTTTGACCAAATGGTTCTTAGATCATAGAAACCTATTTTATTTGTTTTAGGTGGATTTAATGGATTTCATTTTAGGATTTATCAAGTTTACACGCTGACTAATCAATTTCCACATTTGGGGTACCAAAATAGTATGAGCATTTAAATCATTTGCCCTGTTGGATAAGGAAATAAAGATGAAGGGACAGACAGACAGGATGCTTTTATTCGTGGAGCTTTATTGATTTAAAACTTTTTATATATATAAAAAAAAGAAAACAGTTGAATTCTACCCAGAAAGCATGATGTAAGAAAATATATGGAGGACTAGTTAGTCCACTTCCCTCCCACTTCCTCCATGCCTTATACATCCTCCAGGTTTGAGATATGTTTTTAGGTGGAAATGTGGGCTGATAAAATTGTAATGACAAAGAAGCAAAAATCACACTGCACTAATTCAGTTTCCACAGGTACCATGTATATTAGTGACTTTCAGCAGTAATCTGAATGAGTTGTAGTGAATTTATGTATTTTGAGTTACGGCCTTTTATGCCATTTCTATATGGCAAGAATCTATCTCAGCATTGTCAGTTTGTGGTTTCACTTTAGTGTGACAAAACTTGGTGAACTCCTTGAACTGGTGCTATCTTCACTATGTTTCTTTTCTTTTCTTTTTTCTCTCTCTCTTTTTTTTTTATGCCTACAGCACCTGGTCTTCCTAGGTGGTCTCTCAACCAAGTACTAACCAGGCCCTGTTTAGCTCATGAGATCAGACGAAATCGAGCTCGTTCAGGCTGGCATGGCCGTAGACTATTCACTTGACCCTGTTTAGCTTATGAGATCAGACGAAATCGGGCTCGTTCAGGCTGGCATGGCCGTAGACTATTCACTATGTTTCTAAGTAAAATAAAGAACTGTGAAATCCTGGTGGACAGTTTCCTTCAGTGAAGAGGGAACAAGCATAAATGAGTGCGGAGGGGAACAGAGCAGGTGTGCTTAGGTTGCCTGAAAGAAGTACTTCAGCCCATATCAACGAGAACGAGCTACTGAAAGTCAACATTTAATTTAAGAACTTTAGGTGGCACACCATTCTGCCGTGAGGAATCCAAGCTCTGGAGACAGAAGCTAACTCGGCTCATTTTCTTGTTGAGTTTATTTCAGGATTCTAAGAAATCAGTTTATCTTGTACAGTTTAGCCATCACAGAGAATGGGCTGGTTATTTGTTGTCAAAGGCAGCTTCATTCATAAAGTTGGCTCTTTGCTGAAACAGCCACTGGGTTTTGAATGGGAGGTTACACCTTTTCTCGGCAGAGTTTCCTACAATGGTTGTAGAACCTGCCAACAGGAACCATCAGGCAGCTCTCTGGCAAGGCCAAAGGCCACTGCAGAACTACCTGTTGCCATTGGTTGGAGCAGAGCTTTGCCATGCTTGGCCAGTGGAGCAAGGCATGAATATTGGTTTTGACTTATGTCCTTGCCTGGCTGCCTTTGTGCACTGAGTGCTTTTGTGCACAACTCTATGCTATGACTCACAAAAGACACAGCAGTAACATTGCAGATAAGGAGGCAAAATGGCCCTGTTCAGATACATTTCACTGCTTTTAGTGTAATTTACCAGCAATATATATTTTAACTTGAGCTTTTTAGCCTACCGATTTTGGGCTGCATCTCAGTCTCCTCACTGTGTCACAAACACACTAGGCTTATTCTTGCCTCCATTCTTCAGCAAATAGTGACTTCTCCTCTGTTTTCACTTAACTATCTCTTGCTCATCCTTCAGTTCTCGGTTTAGACATTCTTTCAGAAAGTCTGCCCTGATCTCCCAAGTCTGAAGGATCCCATTTAGATACCTTCATAACATCTTGAACTTCCCCACTGTAGCACTTAATATACTTTTTAATATCGTACTTCCTGTTTGGTTTTGTCTGTACATCTTCATTAGCATTTAAACTTCCCGAGGCAAAAAATGTTTATCTTGTTTATAGTCGTATTCCAAAGATGTAGCATAATACTTGGCACCCGATAAACATTTATTGAAGAATCAATTTGTAAATGCATGCATATGAACCCTTGTTGGTTAATGTATTCTGAATATTTGCTCTGGTTTGGTTCTATTGGTGGTGATAGGTTTTGCTGATGAGTAAGTGACCTCAAATCCTTGGTGAAACACTCCAGAAAGTTTTGTGATGTTTCTTAGGAGTCTCCTCTCATTTGGCTAGTTGACTGAGGAGAAAGCACTAGAGGGTTCTAAATCATGTGATTCACTCAGATGATGATTTCAGAGCCAGAGAGTGATCTGGTCTTGGAAAAACTGAATAAGTTCTAAAGCACAGTAATCTTTTTCTCTTGCCTTCTCTAGCACTGGAAGATGCAACACAGTGAGGAGTATGAAGCAGAAGGTAAGAACTGAGTTTATGTTGGGCCTGCCCGGGAGCAAGTGCTGCCATTCACTGGGCACTTGCCACACCTGCCTTCCTGCTTCTCTAAGCCTTTCTAACTGTCATGCATGCCAGCTAAGAAGTAACTTTAAGAAAATTTTAAAAATTAATTCTCAATTGATAGCTTGTATTTTTAAAATCCTAACATTTAACATGCAAGATATGGGAACTAAGATGTAGAATTTCACTTATGGGTTAAATTACTTTCTTATGTAGACTTTAAACTTAGTCTGTGAACAGTCCTAAATTAAATAGTGTCCTATCTCGACAGATTTTAGATGTATTTAAGCATCAAAACACGTTGATCTTTTGGCCAGCAGATGGCACTGTTGTTCAGCTGACAGAACCTCAGCTGGCTTCACAGCCCCCCCTGGGTTAACTGAACTTAAGTATACTTAATTATATGTTCTCTAGGTCTCCAACCTGCAAAGACACGGTAGTAATGGGCTTAATTTCTTTGATAAATAGTAGGAGTAGCGCTAAATGCTCCTCCTAACCCCTCCAAGGTTCTTCCATACACGCAAAATTGTGCCAGTAATTATCTCATGTTTATATAATGACTTTACAGAATCTCTAATAGATGAGTGGAGAATTTAACGAGAACTGAGAACTTTTAATACAAGACAAATAAATTTTGATATGTAGTTTTAAATATGTTTTCAAACAGAACTTATCCTTAATAGAAAGCTAATTGGTAACTCACAGCTTGTAACCATTTATTCTTTCACGTTGGATTGTTTGACCATCAGAATAGTCATATGTGCAAAGATTTGGGAACAAGTTAGTCTTGGGACTTTTATGATTATTTTATGATATTTATCATGAAATTATTCTCAATAAAAACAGTCCTAGTGCTTAGACTGGAAAGAAAATGGAGATAATACAGTCTGGTAGCTCTAGCTGGGGCAGGGTGTATAAAGCTCTTTGGAATGCCTCTCAGCTAGCCTTCTCTTCTGATCACACAAAAGCGTAAGCCTGAGCATGTTTTCACTTGGAATAAAACAGGACTTGAACCTTGGCATCACTGAGCAGGAGGTATTTCTTACACGGGTATGACTGCCAGTGAACAAAAAGTGCCTGTTTGCGCTAGTAGCGGCCAAAGGACCAATGGTTCCATTTCATTTGAACTTCAGAATCAAATCAAAAAGTGGAATCAACACGTATAGTCTTTGTCTTACACTATTTGCTTTCAAAAAGCACAATTTTCTCTGAGAATAGGTATCGCTCTGCAATCTGTTTGGAGACGACACATTATAAGCTTTTATTTCAGGCCAGTTGAGATTTTGGAACCCAGATGACTTGAATGCCTCCCAAAGTGGGTCTTCCCCTCCCCAAGACTGGATAGAAGAGAAACTGCAGGAGGTTTGTGAAGATTTGGGGATTACCCGTGATGGTCACCTGAACCGAAAGAAGCTGGTCTCCATCTGCGAGCAGTATGGTTTGCAGAATGTCAATGGAGAGGTGAGCCTTGCATTATGTTTTTATTCAGAAATACTAATCATGATAAAAGATAAACTGGGCCCAGGTTAGGGACAGCTATCTTTTGGCTTCCTGCAGCGTTTAATAGAGACTCCATTCTCTTTTGTTTCCCTAGAAAGTCAGCCACAAAAATTGTCTTTCAGGAGCTCATGTTGTGCTTTAGGAAATAAAAATTTGCAGTAGCTGACACTTACTGAGTCCATACCGTGTGCTCCTCAGTGTGCTAAGCACTTTACGTCACATTATTATCAGACACTAGCTCAGTGCAGCCATGATGTCAGATAAATTTGTAGACCTGGCATGCACAGATGTGAATGTGAGAAAGGCATACAGGAAGGATTAAACATTTGAGTTGAGGGAATATTTTGAAGGCTGGGCTGATGAGTAGGTTTTTCAGCAGACTAGGTAATGTGTAGGAAAAACTGACTTGCCGAGGATGGTCTGGGCTGCTTTTGTGGGACATACTGGTGTAAAGAGAGCCTCTGTTTAGGAAACCAGCCAGGAGCCATCACAATATTTTGGTCATAAGGAAATGAAGAGGGTAGGCTGGTGGTTTTAAAGGTATGCAGAAGTGTCCTGAAGGAGCTCCCAAAAACACTCTTGCTTGGTAAAATTCTGACCTTTATGTTTTCTGAAAAATTAAGAGGGGAACGGGTAGAACTGGGCACATGAGTAATCATGAAACCTAAGAATGTAAATAATTCCAAGATATGTCTTTCAAAGAGCTGAAAATAAGAATTGGAGGGATTTAGAGGTTACAGCTATAGTTGTAGCTTTGGGAATCTTTGATTGTAATATTTGAAAACATGCTATCTGTTTGCTCAGGGAATAGGCGGTATTATTTTCCTAAGCCAGAAAGAAATTTATCATTAAAAGTTTCTAAGTAGCCTGGCTTGCAGAAAAACTCCCCGCCCCACCTACCACCCGCCCTCTTCTTCCTTGTATATGTGACCACTATATACCCTTTGATTACCTTTTTAATGGCTCAGTGGTCATTTACTTTTTGGTGATGGTTTTTGAGTCATAAAATTAAATGCATCATTCTAAATTATAAACCAGTGCAGTATGTAGAACCTTGGGTGGTTTTTGCCAAGAAATATTGCACAAACTTAGATTATTTATCTAAGAACAGCCCTTGGAATAAACTGTAGCCATATGCAGGGAATTGCATCTTTTGTGGTACAGTTTTCAGAATCTGGGAAAAGAATTAGTATATTTAGTTGTTTTCCTCTGCTCTGAGGATGAGTAAAAGATTGCTTATTAAATATTGCATTTACTTAGTGTTTTTCCTCCCCCCAAAATCATGAAATACTATAGCACTTTGTATTACTAGCACTAGACCACAGAGCAGCTAAAAGTTCAAGATGATCTCATCAACATATACTTTGAAATCTTAGAATTTTACAACTGAAAGCAATTTTAGATTTAGTCAGCCCCTTATTTTATAGAGAGAGATTACTGCTGCTCGTTGCCATTACCAGGAAGGGGGTATAACTAGTACTCTGCTTTCCAGACACGAAAACATCTATAGGACAGGGATGACACACTGTTTCCAGATGCTAAGTGTAGCTCCAAGGCTATTTTATGTGGCCTGCCCAATGTTTAAAAATTGAAATTTTTGCTGCACTTTTTAATACCAGGAGATTTTTCTAAAGATCAGAAGATTTGGCTCCATTTTGCTGGCAGTGAGAAGTGCCCAGTTCCTTTGGACAGGACATACACTCATGTGTCAGTTCACAGCTTTGGCATTACTTTCTAATGTCTCAAAACCATCCTGCCCCATTTATTTATATCACCTGCCTGGCCTCTCTGGATATTTGGGTTCGTGGTGCCTGTTCTGGTGCATTATTTTGCAACTTACACATTGGGAAATCAACCATCCAAAGACTTGGCTGATGTATCGTGAGGAGTAAGAATGTCCTCCAGGTTCTAGATTAGGCTCCTGCAAGGCTGCAAGGGATGCAGAGCCCCCGTTGCCCATTTGACTTACATTCTTTTCAGCCCAAACCTGCTCTCATCCACCCTCTTCTGAATCCACATCCTTTTTATTGACCACTTGCCTACTCCCCCATGTGCAATAATTGGCAGCACTCACTGTTCTACCACTTCGAATAGATGAGGTGATGGGTATTTAGGCAATCTGGAAGTTATGCATCAGTTTGTCCAGGGTCACCAGGCCAAACGGTGTAGAGCTAAGGTTAGAGTCAAAATATGCTTGTTAACTTCAGTCAGCATACCTGGCTTTTACTGTGACTTCTGGTTTGATGATCCTGAAAGCCTAGTCCTCTACGAAAGTGTTCTTTTGGTTGTTAAGAGTGAGACCAAGAAGCTAAGAGATCTTGGCAACCTCAGAATCTAGCCCAGAATCTTTCATTGGTTTCATCACACAATTCTCTATTAGGAACTCTTGCTTCTGCCAAAGATTTCCACTCTTTAGAATAGTTTTCTTGTTTTAGCGTCCTCTCCAGAGGAAGTAGTATAAAAATAAGAATAGAAACAGATGTTTCCTATTAGATATGAATTTTTTTAAAAAACATTTGAGATAAAACAAATGCCTCAAGCACTTACATGAGGAATAAAATCAACAATTCTGAGATGACTCGAATCCTAGCAATAGTCCAGACTTATGAAATGAATATTGAAAATTTTAAGATGTATTACCAAGAGGCCTTTGTAAGAATGGACCCAATTAACTGTAGGCTCTAAGGCAGCAAGAGTAAATTTGTTTGTTTCCTTTTTACGTAGCAGCATGAGCATCACCTCAGAGCTTGTTAGAAATGCAGAATCTCAGGCCCCACCCCCAGATTTAACTGTATCAGAGTCTGCATTTTAACAAGATCCCCATCTGATTTCTGTTTTGTACATTGGAGTCATGCCCCTATAGAAAAATGTTAGCCCTCCAAATAAAGAGCGATCCGACTACCAGGAGGAAGGAGGTCTTTGCCTTCCGTCTGTTTTGTGGTGTTAGTGATTCATCTGCTTTATTCTTCTTCCCATTCCTCTGTGTGCTAGGGAACAAACCGTCTCTTAGGCAAGCCTCTAGAAGAGACTGTAGTCCAGTCTCCCCTTCCCCAATTCTATGTTGATTACTGTCAGAGGTACAAAATAGCCAGGCAAAATTCCTTTCTCTTTACCTCTCCTGGAACTCTTCCATTGCACGTACACAAAATCCTTCATATCCAATCTTCATTTCTCCTACACTAAAGCATTAAAACAGAAATCCAAAACACACAGTATTGTTCCAAGTAACAGTCTAAATTCCAAGTCACAGCTTTCAGACCCAAACTCTTAGATCATTGCAGTCTGTCCCAGACCAAATTCTGCTATGCTGGCATACCAATTTCAAAAATTCAATATAAGTACAATATCATATGGAGTCGCCACAGTATAATAGCGCAATAAATGTCTAACTAACTTTTACTGTTATAACACCAGAAACTATATCTTTATATTTTTTAAGTAATGTCTTAATTTGTGATAATAATGTATAGTAACATTAAAGATTACTTGTTCTAAGAGAGTAAATAAAAGAGAAAAACAGTTAATTGCTAGATTAATGTTTAAAGATTATGAAGATGTTGAAAATGGACTTTTCTTTAGTATGTGTGAGGTGGAAAGATGTTACTAGAAAGGAAAATAAATTCATTCAGCGGAATGAGAATAAAGGGTCATGTTATATTTTTGGAGTCCTGGGATCAACAGTGGTGTCAATTTCTATTGGCCAGATGTGTACTTTGGGCCTTCTGCTATTTTGAGTGAAATATTTTAAATATATGGTTACCCTTTTCTAGATGCTCGAGGAAGTCTTCCATAATCTTGATCCTGATGGTACAATGAGCGTAGAAGACTTTTTCTATGGCTTGTTCAAAAATGGAAAATCCCTTACACCATCCGCATCTACTCCATATAGACAATTGAAAAGGCACCTCTCCATGCAGGTAAGAAATACATAGGAAGTGGTTTCTTTGTGAGTAGAAGTTAAGCCTACAGAGTAATTTCTAATGATTTAATCTGTTGTCTGAAGGCAAATACTAAGGAGAGAGAGAAGCAAGAGAAGAATAAGAAAGACAGACTAAACCATTGGGAAGGGAAAGCCAGGTTTCCAGGAATGACCGTAAATTACAGAGTGGGGAGACCACTGAGGGCTCCTTAACACTATCAGAAGAAGAAACCTGATGTTAGGTAGAGACACATCTCGTTTATGTCAGTGAACTCTCTACCAGACCAGTTGTTCTTGATAAGCTTTGCATTCTTGACTCACCTGGGGAAAGGAGATCAAAGGGGCTACATGACTTTTTTCTAGCAGTGTAAATTAGGGAAACATGCCTTCTGCTCCTTGTGGTCAAGACGGACTAATGTTAGTCTTGACCAAAATCTTGTTGAAATGCCTGAGCTTGCTCACATCTCTTTCTTCTTCCAGTCCTTTGATGAGAGCGGTCGACGTACTACAACCCCATCGGTGAAGACGGGTACCATTGGCTTTCGGGTCTTCTCCTGCCTGGATGATGGGATGGGCTATGCATCAGTGGAGAGAATACTTGACACCTGGCAGGAAGAGGGCATCGAGAACAGCCAGGAGATCCTGAAGGTGTGGCAGCTCACGGAGGGGAAAATGAGAAATTGGGGAAGAGTTAAGAAAAATATCCGGGTTTTTTTTGAGACTGTGACTTGATTTGATTTCTCCTTCATTCTTCTAATCACAATATCTCAGAGATAAGAGGCAACTTTTCCTACTCCTTTTAATCAGGAGACTGTTGCTAACTACTTTCCATTTTTTTAATCCCTGAATTATTGACAAGTGAGATGCTCTTAACTGATCTCTGGCTGGTAAAGATTAGAATCATACCATTGCGTTTATTTATAAAGTGCCAGATAGCATTAAAAAAAAAAAAAAGGGGCAGGCAAATAACCATCTTAGAGTTTTCTTAAAGAGAACTTAGTTATGTTCTAGATTGAAAGCTGTTTCTTAACAATCACTAAAGAAATGTAATCATTCATCTTCTAGAATACAAATTCAGTTCTCTAAGTTTGCTAACTCACATTTTCTGCTTTCAGAGGATAGAACTTGTGATTGTCTTGAACTTGTTTTGATTTATAGGCCTTGGATTTCAGTCTTGATGGAAATGTCAACTTGACAGAATTGACGCTGGCTCTTGAAAATGAACTTTTGGTTACCAAGAATGGCATTCACCAGGCGGCACTGGCCAGCTTTAAAGCTGAGATCCGGCATTTGCTGTGAGTTGGAAAGTTCACCTGCTCCATTTCCTTTTCTACTTGTCCAGCAAGTCATTCAGATGCCTGTGATATACATTCTTTTATTCTGTATGCAAATATGACTATCATCTTTTTATTGTGAAAATGAGGTAGAGCTTAGATTTGCATGTAGGTTTTCGAAGGGAGCTGTGGAATGAATGTCTTTTTGTTTTGAAAGGGTTTTGGTTGTCTTGATTTTATGTTTGTATCGAAGCAAGCCAGTTGAGAGCTTTTGGGGGCCTACTCGTTGCTTAGAAACAGTTTCCCATTAACTTGATTTATTTCTGATTCTAGGGAGCGAGTTGATCAGGTGGTCAGAGAAAAAGAGAAGCTACGGTCAGATCTGGACAAAGCTGAAAAGCTCAAGTCTCTAATGGCCTCAGAAGTGGACGATCACCACGCGGCCATAGAGCGGCGGAATGAGTACAACCTCAGGTGAGACTGATAGGACCAGGTCCCTCCTTTCCTATCACCCTGGCCCAAGGCAGTGGGGCTAAGCCGGCCTGCCTGCTTCGCCACACCTGGCTGGAGTGACTTAGGTGTGGTTAAGCCTAAAGGAAAGCAGGCTACACTAGATACCTTCTCAAGTTATTTCCCATCTCTGACTCTGTGTTTCCATTTTGGGTGGATTCACACAGGGATCTCTGCAGGATCTGACAGCAGCTTCTTGGTCTTTCGTCCTCACAGGAAACTGGATGAAGAGTACAAGGAGCGCATAGCAGCCTTAAAGCATGAGCTCCGAAAGGAGAGAGAGCAGATCATGCAACAGGTGGGCAAGCAGCGCTTGGAACTTGAGCAGGAAGTTGAAAAGGCAAAAACAGAAGAGAACTACATCCGGGACCGCCTTGCCCTCTCTTTAAAGGTAATCATCCTATTAGTTCTGTGGTCTGTGTCCTGGTGGGGATACCACATGGAAAACCACAGCTCTTTAACAGGGAAGGTCTGTACAGAGCTCAGTCCAAGGATTCCTGTAAGTTTACCCAGTTGTGTCATGACCCAGACATGGCAGAGCCCCTGCTGGGATCTAGATTTCAGGGGTATCCAGACTTCCGGTTTGCAAACAGTATTGATTAGCGTATCTTGTTCTTCCCTCCCGAAGTTGCACTGGGTCCTCAGGGCTGTTTGGCACCTGGTTGATGCCTTCTTCCTTCCCTGCCCTCCTTGCACCCTTTACCATTAGCAAATGGCCTTGTCTCCTGCCACACAGAGCCCATCAACTTTGCTTCTCTGCTTCCAAATATGCCTTCTCCTCTAAACATCCTCCTCTCCTTTCCTGTGCCTCATAAAAGAAGTGATCCTTCTCCTTACTGGACTATGACACCAGATAATATGGTACAGTGTATTCTAGAGGTGGGGGCAGAGGGTTCTGGACTTAGACTGCCTGGTTCCAATCTGGATACCACTGCTTACTGGAAAACCTTGATCAAGTTACCCAAACCTGTGTCCTGTTGTGCAAAATGGGCACTATTATAATAACTACCCTATAGTATAGATATAGAGATTAAATAAAATGCTGCATATACAGTGTCTGGAAAGTAATAGGTACATATGGAATATTCACTGTTGTTGAGGTCGTGAAAGGTTCCCCAAACTCCACACATCAAAAAGTGAGCTAAATTCTCACTTCCTAACAATCAAACTACTTCCTCTCCTGAATTTTCTCCCTAATCAGTCTCATCACCATGTGCTGTTAAGTCACAGAAGCCAAAATCCTCAGTCATCCTCACTCATCAGTCTTTAAAAGTCCTGTTGATGCTCTGAAATGCCTCTCAGATTTATCTACTTCCTCTTCATTTCTACAGGCTCTGAACAGATTCAGAATTCATCACAGTTTCTCAATAGACTTAATGTGCAGCCTTTCTTCTAGCTATCCAACCTCCCTATGGCCACCAGTCACCTCACTAAAGGACACTTACGGTCATGCTGTTACCCATTGTAAAAGTGCAGTGTGGTAGCACCGAAGGCCCCTGAAACAGGCCTTGTCCTCATACCTTTCTAACCTCAGGAACTGCCGACAACCTCCAGTGCCATGTCCCCAGCCCCGCTGCACCTGCCATCAGCTCTCACGGTTCCTCAGTGGGCTTTAATGCTCCTTCACTGCTTTCTTCAACACTGCAGGCCAAATTACTTTTTTGTTCCCGTTTCACTTATTCTTTTCTTGCCAGAGGTAGCATATTTTCTATGGCATCATAGATAATCGTATCTATACCTGCTCCCTCCCCACAGTCCGACTGTGTGTGCCCCGTGGTCAGGAGCAGAATCCATGTCCAGAGCACCAGCACAGGCCCGATACACCACTATTGTTCCCCATTGTTTTGACATCTAAATTTAGATATACTTTGAAAGGTTAGAGTTGTAGAATTGGCATTTTGGGGGAAGATAGTATTTTTTTAAAATGCTTCAAGCACATTCTTTTTTACTCCATATTGCTGTGTGAGGGTGTGAAATAGAATGTATTAAAATGTATTGGCTCTATATTCTTTTGGCAAAATGTACTTTGAAAATAATGTTCTTCCAATCAGCCTTTAACATTGGAATAGAAAATATGTCAAATGGTACATCTTTAACAAATGTAGGTAGAAATTTAATGAGTCTTATGTATACAGAAAAAAACCCACATTTTGTGGACTTCAGTTGATGTGTTATTTTATTATAGTAATTTAAATATACCAATTATGAAAAATCTGTATGTGTAGCTTTTACATCTTTAAACCAAAATAAAATTGTTAATTAAATATAAATTAAGCTGTAACATCACTGAATGAAAATTTATTTTAGATTTATTCTACATTTTATAGTTTTTCCGACTTCTCTTTTGCTGTCATCTGAACCATGTATTCAGTAGCCGGTTTTCTTTCATTTGACATTATGTCGGGAAAGTATTTTTGTGTCATTGAATTTTCTGTTGCAATGCTGTCCAATAGAAATATAATGCAAGCCATATATGTAATTTAAAATTTTCAAATAGCCACATTAAAAGGTAAAAAGAAACAAGTGAAATTAATTTTAAATCATTTTATTTAATCCAATATCTAAAAACATTACCATTTTGGCATGTAATCATACACAAGAAGTATTGAGCTATTTTATATTTTTGTACTAATTCTTAGAAATCTGGTGAGTATTTTATACTTCCAGCACATCTCAATTTATGCTGTGCGTATTTCAAGTGCCTAATATCCACATGTGACTACTAGTGGGAATATATGGGACAGCACAGTTCTATAAGGTCAGAAATAAAGAGGAAGCAGACTTTTGGGTTGTAAGATAAATTGTCAATTTTCTTTTATATTTACTTTTATCTAATCTGAAACTTTCAGATTAAACAGATTTTCCCAATCTAGAGCACTGATTTATGCCTCATATAAAATAGTACAACCATTTGCTTATTTTTTCATCTGTGCCTATTTAATTTCCCCAAATTTCTTCAGGAAAACAGTCGTCTAGAAAATGAGCTTCTGGAAAATGCCGAGAAGTTGGCAGAGTATGAAAATATGACAAACAAACTTCAGCAAAATTTGGAAAATGTGTTAACAGAAAAGGTAAATCTGTTTCGATTTGATTTCCTGATATGCAGCCCAAAGTGTAGTTTACTCAAAAGAGCAGAAGCAATGACACCAAGAAAATGTCTATTAGGAAATGATTTAGATGGCTAGAGGAAGCAGTAATTTTTGCGGGTATGTAATTTAAGAGGTTGGATGTGAGGGAAACATTGCGTGGCACTGAGAAATGATCCCTGCCTTAGTTGAACACATCACTCTAGTATGTTCTTCCCATCATCCAATTGGTAGTATTTCTGCTTAAATGTCACATTCTTGTCATACTCAGGAGACTGGATGAATACCAGAAACTGGGGCCTTTGGTATGTTAGAGGTCAAAGAAGGACCCTTGGGAAAAATGACAGCGTTTCTCTTTTACTTTTCTAGTTTGGTGACCTCGATCCCAGCAGTGCTGAATTCTTTCTGCAAGAAGAGAGGCTGACACAGATGAGAAATGAATATGAGCAGCAGTGCAGGGTGAGTGACTGAAGAGAACTTAGTAAGTGGAGGAGTACTTGGCTTCAAATCCTGCTTCACCATTAACATTCACTAGCTGTGTAACCATGATTAAGTCACTTAATCTGTGGGTGCCTCAATTCTTCATCTATAAGATGGTAAAAATAATAGCATTGTTGTGAAGATTCAATGAGTGAGTATATGTAGAGTGCTTAGAACAGAGCCTGGGACATAGGAAGCACTTAACCCAGGTGTTGGCTATTGATATAATTATCCTAAAATATTAGGAAACCATACAAACTGCATTTAAATTTGCTTTATCTAGGTCAGAAATCGCTAGTGCTTAGAGGAAAATATTGTTTTATTCTGAATGGAGGAATATGTGGTCATGTTGATGTGCTTATTTCAAAATTAGCCTTTCTTGATTGATCATTACAGACCTAATCTGATGTAATTTGCTTTTGTCTTGTGGGTTGTTTTTTTCCTGAATACATTACTTTATTTATGAAATGCAAATGAAGCAAAGACCACACAAATCTTTAGCTAAAAAATCATTACAAATTCCTACCAGAAGAGACAAAAAGTGCTTATATAAATAATAGCAATCTTTGATTTTTTTTAAAAAGTAACTCTCCTAAGCTTAGGAATTTGAATTTTTTCCCTTAAATCACAAACAAAGTAAGCATAACTGAGTTCTAACTGCTTTAGATGAACATGGTATTTGTGCAGAAATGAGGAAAATATCACCCCCTATGGGGTTGCTCATGGTGTGCCTTCTCAAGAAATATATATGCACATTTTGAGTAAAGAAATGAAACATTTATGCCACTTTTGCAATTAAGTTTGGCTCTTATCAAGTAGATGCATTTTCTTTATATGTCTTTAAAGTTAATAATGTCATAGTAATATCTGTCAGCTCTACCCTCCAAAAATTCCCCAAATCCATCCACTTATTTATTTTTTTAAACAGCTTTTCATACTTATATAATTCACCCATTTAACATGTTCAATTCACTTTTTTTTAGGATATTCACAAAACTGTGTAACCAGTACCATAATCAATTTTAGAACATTTAATCACTGAAAAAGAAACTCACACTCCACTTAGTTGTATTCTCTCCCGTGACTCCAGCCCTAGGCAACTAATAATCTACATTCTGTATCTATAGATTTGTCTATTCTTTACATTTTATATAGATGGAATTATACAATACATGGTTTCTTTGTAACTGGCTTCCTTAATTTAGTATAATGTTTTCAAGGTCATCCATGTCATAGCACATTATCAGTACTTCATTTTTTTCAGTTACTGAATAATATTCCATTATACGACTATACCACATTTTATTTATTCATTCATTAGTTGATGGACATTTGTTTTGAATATTATGAATAATGCTGCTGTGAACATTCGTGTGCAAGTTTTTGTACGGACATATGCATACGCATACCTAGGAGTGGAATTGCTGGGTCAGATGATCACTATATGTTTAACTTTTTGAGGAATTGCCAAACTTTTCCCAAGAGGTTTGCACCATTTTACATTCCTACCAGTATGAGAGTTCCTATTTCTCCATACCCTTTCCAATAGTTATATAGTTTGTCTTTTTTATTTTAGCCATCCTAACAGGTGTGAGGCGGTATCTCATTTGATTTGCATTTCCCTAATGGCTAATGATGTCCAATATTTTTTCATTTGCTAGTTGGTATATCTTTTTTGAAGAAATGTCAATTCAGATTCTTTGCCTAATATTTAAGTGGGTTGTCTTTTTATCTTGGAGTTATAATCTTTATATCTTCTAGTTACAAGTCCTTATCAGATACATAATTTACAAAAACTTTTCTCCCATTCTGTGGATTATCTTTACTTTTTTGATGGTATCCTTTGAAGCACAAAAGATACTATTTTCGATGATGTCTAGTTCATCTTGCTGCTCATGCTTTTGGTGTCACACTTAAGACTCGTGTTGGTTTTTAAACTCCAGGTATTACAAGACCAAGTGGATGAACTCCAGTCTGAGCTGGAAGAATATCGTACACAAGGCAGGGTTTTCAGAAATCCCGTGAAGAACTCGCTGTCAGAAGACCTTGACGTTAACAGCGGTGGCCTTGAGCCTGACCAAGGCAAGCTGTTCCGACACAGTCTTTTCAGAGTCTCTGCCTTTGACTTTCTTTTTAGAACCATGATTGAATGTAAAATTGAAAAACTTTGGTGACCAAAAAAAAAAAAAAAGACTGGCAATACTATTTTCTTCAGCTATTTCACTTGTGGTCTGTTTTTTTCATTTGTCCTTGAAGTCTTTATGAGAATATTTCCATCTGATTTTTATATGAATCAACGAATGAATGGAACAATCGAACCATAAGGATATTTGCTTTGTTTAAAAAAAAAAAAAAAAACTGGCCACAAGTCTGAGAATCTAGGCCTTGGGAGTGTTAGAGTTCCACAGAGCTACTGCTGAATCCTCCCTTGCTGAAAAAGTGCCTGACACAATGACGGTTTTGGAGAATGGGCAAGCCAGAAACCACAGAATTTGTTTTTCTTATGCTGTCTGTGCTAAATGTCTGCACTGCTCCTGCAAAATAACAAATAAGATAAGTAAGCGTTGGTTGCCTCTGCCTTTGAGGAAGATTTTGAGTGGCAAGGTTGGAAGGCAGAGTTGTCGGGGAACTTTCCACATCCTTTATCAACTCTTTTCCTCCCTCCTGGGCTCCTGCCTCTTTCCTCCAGTGTGTTGAGTTTGAATTTCAGAATGGGCTCATTATAAATTCTCCTGTTTTAGTTTTGTCTACTGGTACTTGTTGCAGGAGTACAGGTTCTTGAAAGGGTTGCTTATTCTTCTTCTCAACTATTTATTCTAGAATAAATAAGGCATTGAGGCGGGGACAGGAAGAAGCCTTAAGACTTTTCCTCTGATTCTAAGTCTATAGCTTTACTGTAGTGTAAGGATGGAGCCCAACTGATGATATGATACATTTCTAAAGCTTTTCTGAACTTTTCCATAGATGACCAAGTTTTGGGGGTTCTCCTCATGGGTACATGATGCAGCATTTGGGGTGGTGTATACCCCAAGTATCACTTCTCAGTAGGGAATGTGCCATGACATATGAAGCAAAAGCTCAAAGCAAAACTGCTGATTCCAGACGCTAGACTTAAGCCCTTTCTCCCATCTGCCTGTGTATGCCCACATGAAAAATTTTTTGCATCCTCTGTCTTAAGAGATTTCTATATAGTAATAGACATAATCATTTTGTCTACATACTAGCTCAGCCCCCAACTTAACACTTTACATTTCAGTGTCCAGCAATCATCATGGGCGGTTGCAAAGGTGAGCTCGTATGGATGAGTTGAAAAATTTTGCCCAAACTGCCTATTTCTGTGTTCCTAACCTATGCCCTATTTGTTTTGTCTACTGAAAAATAATATCGACTAAGTGTTTCATCACCAAAAAGGATTTATTCAAGGAAAACAAAGAGTTGCAACCCAGTGCACGCAGACATGGTGAGACGTGTATACACTCACCTGCGTGCCAAGGGGGAGAGTTATTTATATAAAGGAAAAAGAAGTCAAGGGAATGGAAAGTTAGAACCATAGAGCTTTATTATAAACATAGAGTTCTTCCTGTGGGGTTCTTGTGATTATGTAGAGTGCGAGAACTCCTCCCATCAGCCTTAGCTTCTCCTATAGACCCTCCCGACAGATTATGTTCATTTTAAAGTCTCAGTCAATCTTTATCAGTATTAAAAAATGTTAGCTGATAATTTAAGATTAAGTTCCACCTGAACTACAGGAAATTAATTTTACAATACTCAGTCTTCTGTAATGTTGAGTGGTGGGTTGGATATCTTGACCCATGAAATTAACACCTCAGGGTATATCAGGAAGTAGGCTGGTTATTCATTCTCCTGCCACATTGCTCCTCTGCCAATTTGTTGCTCAGGATTTGTTGGATGAATAGAAGGCTGGTTGGTTTGACCAAACTTCCCCACTCCACAGCATTTTCACTGGGAGGAGATCATGTTTAAGCAACAGTTTCCATATCTACCCCCCACCTACTCTTTAAAAAGATGGATTCTGTCAAGGTTTGGTGCACTGCTGTCCATGAAAGAATCTGCTCACCTTCATTTTTTTTTTTTATTTTCCCAAACCTTGAAAACAAAAGAGACTTCTCTTGGCTTCATTTGTTTCTTCGTAGATCTCATCTGTGGCAGTTTAGGCTGAAAATTATTCCTTTGTAAAACTGGATGCCCCTCCTCAGATGCCAGTTGTGTTATTGAAAGGTCAGGGTCAACAGATGTCGTGTATTTTCAGGGCTTGGTTCTGAAGAATGCAATCCACTGAATATGAGCATCGAGGCAGAACTGGTCATTGAACAGATGAAAGAACATCATCACAGGGACTTGTGTCGCCTAAGACTGGAGCTTGAAGATAAAGTATGTCTTTCTTATCAGTCCTGTTCTCTGATTTCTCTAAGGTCTGACAGAGTTTTGCATGTAGGATGTTCTCAGTTCTTTTTTCTCATAGAACAGCACTGTCTGTATGTGTCTTCTTGTGTCTTACCAGCTACTCAGGAAACCACTTCCTTCGGATGGTTTCACAGGCCAAGGACAAGACCTTTTCCTCGTTGGAACCTGAAGGCCATTACATTATTCCCACCTTGTTAAAAAGTTAATAAAATGAAAAAAAAACCCTTTGATATAGCTTTAACTCGTAAATAAGGCACAAGTTCCGAATCTGGGCCTCCAAAACCCTTTCCCTTGTCGCTTCAACTTATTTTTCTATTTTTCTCTTTTACCATTCCTTTGAGTTACCTTATCCTCCAGCCAAACCAGGTAGTTTGCCATTCCTTATCAGACTATCTTCTTTTGCTCATGCTATTACATGTTATGACCTCTTTCTACCTCTTGAAAGTCTACTTACCCTTCAGAGTTCATATCAAATGTTACCTCTTGCATGAACCAATTCCTGAATTTCTGCCAACCAATGTGATTTTTCTGTCTTTTGAATCTCCTGGTTATATTGTAGGTCTTTTTTCTATATCTTTTATATTTTTTATTCTGCCTTGTAGTGTACATGTTTGTATTTGCCATAATCATGTCAAGACTGGTTTCTCCTTAATGGCAGGGACTATCCCTTACCCAGCTTTGTGTCCCCACAAGGCCTGATAGGTGTTCAATAAACACATGAATTTCATTAAGTTTGTTAAGACCCTAAGTTCGAAGTTGGAAAGGATGCCTGGGGAGACGAATGGTATCTCCGTGACAGTCTAGTCAGTATTCATAGTTGTTCAGAAACTAATAAGATTCAACCAAGTTCATATAAAGGAAAGCAAACCATGCTTGACTTAATATATCTTAGTTAATGTGTTTTTTAGTTGTTACTTTAAAACAAAATGGGAAAACTGAGGAATGTCTTGTAGGAAGAAAGGACTTCTGTCCGATCACATTTCTGTGGCCTCGGGTCCAGTAACACTGTGGTGGTTTGGCTCTCTGACCTTAGGTGCACCATTATGAAAAGCAGCTAGATGAAACCAAGGTCGCCTGCGAAAAGGAGCAGGAGAACATGAAGCAGAAGTATGAGAATGAAGTGCACATTTTGGAAAAACAAATAAGTGACCTTAAAAATGAAATTGCAGAACTTCAGGGCCAGGCCGTAGTACTCAAGGAGGCACAGCATATGACTGCCTGCAGACATAAGGAGGAGACAAAGCAACTGCAGACGAAGTGGGATGAGGAGAAGACTCTCCTTCAGGAGAAGCTGAGGATGGAACATGAGATGGAGCTCAAGGATAGGCTGAAGCAGGCGGAGGAAAGCTTTAACCGTGAGAGGGAAGGACTTATGCAGAACGGTGCCTGGACAGAAGAGAAGGTGAGAGGCTTGACTCAGGAACTGGAGCAACTTCACCAGGAGCAGCTGAAAAGCCTGGTGGAGAAGCACACTCTTGAGAAAGAGAAGTTGCAAAAACAGCTCTTGGAAAAACACCAAAGGGAACTTCAAGAGGGAAGGTAAGAAAATGGGGGAAATGGAGCAACCTGCGGTGCTGTCCTTCAGGGACACTAGGAGTTCCAGTCAGTTAAAGAGACTTTGATAAGTCAGAAGGCGTAAAAGCCCATTGATCGATTAGATCTTCCTTTTAGTTTTTTAACCTGTTTTGCCATTGTGCAGACATAAGCCTATCATGTAGTTATGGAAACTTTTTTTTTTAAGTGTAAATTATGTCTTATATCTGACTTGTATCTTTTAAGGTTACACATGAGAATGAGATTCGCAAATGTGGTTTCTTCCTAGTTCAGTCCTGTTGTTTTTTGAGAAAAGCTATTTATAAGCTAGATTCTGGGCAAAGGTACATTTCCTCCCAGAGTTATAAAACTGCTTTGTGCTTACCTTACTCATATAAAATCTCAGGTACATTTGAAGGCTTTGGTGCTTCATACTCTGATGAACTCAGTGCTACTTCATTAAACAAGAAGCAAAAACATAATGAATTTGTTAATATGTGTGGTTTATATGATGACCATTCTCCAATGTGTACTTAATTAAAAGAATTTTATGTTTTTCCCAAGTTAGGGGTTATGTCAATATGCATTTGATCATTTAATGTGAAATATCAGTTTAAGTTTTTGGTTGAAGAAGTACAGATTAGTAATTGATAGATGGTCACAGGGATGGGGAGCACAACATAGGGAATGCAGTCAGCAGTAATGTAATGGCTATGTGTAGAGCCAGAGGGAAGATAGAGTAAGCAGGGGGATAATTTCATAAATTATATAAATGTCTAACCAATGTACTGTATACTTGAATTAAAAAAATCCCAAAACAAATATACCTAGGAGTATGCAAAAAGAATTTGGTTTCTAAATTTTCCTTCTAAATGCAGAAAGAGGTAAGTACTAAGTCTTCTAAATGAATTATGTCTACTAGTCTTGGCTCTCAGAAATGAGATCTCTTCTCAGTAATAATGAACCACATAGAGATTAAGTGAAAATCATTTTTAGAAAGTATTTAGATTGTTGGCTTGGCAGATTCTTCTATGCATGGGAAATGTTTTTTGTTTGCTTCTGGGATTGATGGCAGTTTTAGTAATGTTGTATGTTGACCACATTTAGGGAAAAAATGGAAACTGAGTGTAATAGAAGAACGTATCAGATAGAAGCCCAGTTTCAGGCTGATTGTCAGAAAGTCACTGAGAGATGCGAAAATGCTCTGCAGAGCCTTGAGGGGCGTTACCGCCAAGAACTGAGGGAGCTCCTGGAGCAGCAACACGAGGAGAGATCCCAGTGGGAGTTTGAGAAGGACGAGCTCACCCAGGAGTGTGCAGAAGCCCAGGAGCAGCTCAAAGAGACTCTCCAAAGAGAGAAAGCTACTTCTCTGGTCCTGACCCAGGAGAGGGAGATGCTGGAGAAAACATACAAAGAACATTTGGATAGCATGGTTGTTGAGAGAGAGCAGCTACTCAAAGACCTGGAAGATCTAAGACATGTGTCTGAAAGTCAGCAAAGTCTACTGTCTAACCAGATACTTGAGCTGAAAAGCAGTCATGAAAGAGAGCTGAAGGACCGTGAGCAGGTCCTGTGCCAGGCAGGCGTCTCGGAGCAGCTGGCCAACCAACATCTCGAAAGGCTAGAAATGGAACGTGACCAGGAGAGGCAGGAAATGATGTCCAAGCTTCTGGTCATGGAGAGCGTCCACAAAGTGACCTGTGAGAAAGCAGATCGAGACAGAGCTGAGATGAGCATGGAAATCTCCCGGCTTCAGAATAAAGTTAAGGAAATGCAGCAGGTGGCATCTTCTCCCTCTAGGCTTCAGAATGGCTGCCAGGAAATAGGAGGGGAGGAGGCAGAAGGGAGTGGAGCCATGTCCTTGCTGCAGCAAGGAGAGCGGCTGCTGGAAGAGAATGGAGATGTCCTCTTAAGCCTGCAGAGAGCTCATGAAAGAGCAGTGAAGGAAAATGTGAAAATGGCTGCTGAAATTTCTAGATTGCAACAGAGGCTGCAAAAATTAGAGCCAGGGTCAGTAATGTCTTCCTGTTTAGATGAGCCAGCTACTGGATTTTTGGGAAATTCTGTAGAACAAATGGAGCCATTTTTACAGCAAAATCGAATGAAGCAAGTAGAAGGTGTAAACATGCGGCGTGTCCCAAGTGACCTGCAAGATGAGGAGGTCCGGGATCTGAGAAGTACAGGGACCAGTTCTGGTCAGAGACAGGAAGTCAAAATAGAGGACTCTGAAGCATCGATAGAGAGTTTTTCTGAGCTTGAAAATAGTGAGGAGACCAGGACTGAAACCTGGAACCTAAAGAATCAGATCTGTCAACTTCAGGAACAACTAAAGATCTTACGTGCAGACTGCGATCGAGCTTCTGAAAAGAAACGAGACTTGCTTTTTGACGTTTCTGTGCTAAAAAAGAAACTAAATGTACTTGAGAGAATCCCTGAGCCTTCTCCCAAATATAAATTATTATATGAAGATGCCAGTAGAGAAAATGACTGTCTCCAGGAAGAGCTGAGAGTGATGGAGTCACGTTACGATGAAGCACTAGAAAACAACAAAGAACTCACTTCAGAAGTTTTCAGATTACAGGATGAGCTAAAAAAAGTTGAAGAAGTAACCGAAACATTTCTTAGTCTGGAAAAGAGTTACGATGAGGTCAAAAGAGAAAACGAGGAACTGCATGTTCTGGTTTTGAGACTTCAAGACAAGATTGAGAAGCTGCAAGGAAGAGCAGTGATACAGTGTGACTGCTTCTCATTATGGGAAGCCCATTTAGAGAACCTGGACGTCAAACCTGCTGAAAAGGTACTTGAACTAAATCAGACACTGGAAGAGTGCGTGCCAAAGGTCATGAATGTACAGCATATTATAGAAGAACATTATCAAGAAAACCAGTACCTTGAGCAGGAGAATACACAGATGCTGGAAAAAGTAAAAGCACATGAAATCTCCTGGTTACGCAGAATAATCCAGACACATCAAGAAAAGCCTGGAGAACAGAACCAAATTATGCTGGAGGAAAACACTGCTCTCCTAGGCCTTCAGGACAAACATTTTCAGCGTCAGGCCATGATAGCAGAGTTAGAACTGGAGAAAAAAAAGCTGCAGGAGCTGACTAGAAAGTTGAAAAAAAAGGAAAGAGTCACACTATTAGTTAAGCAAAAGGATTTACCTTCTCAAGGAGGAAAGGAGGAAGAGCTGAAGGCAATGATGCATGACTTGCAGATCACATGCAGTGAGATGCAGCAAAAAGTTGAACTTCTGAGGTAATGTATATATATAAATTCTAAAGTTCACAGAATCCCACAGAGCACTTGGCCAAATCTAACTCCCGCTGCTTGCTGTACCTAGAGAAACTAACCTGTTAGTCTTCAAGAAGAGAACAGTACTTTAGACTTCCTTCTGCTTCTGCGTTGTATTAACAAATAGAAAAACCTTGCCTAGGAGGCATTCCCTTCTTCTGTAGGAAATAAATGTCATTCGGGGTGTGAAAGTTCATAATGGGGAGTATTTGCTGTTTAACCATGTGCGTCATCAATATATGTCAGGTCTTTAACTCTTTTCTAGCACTTCATTTGGATAAGTCTTTTGGGGTTTTTTTTTGGTTTTTTTTGCTCTTAGTTATTTTCCTCATTTTGATGAAAGATGTTATATGAGAATGAATGCCTTTTATGTATGATTAACTTGCTTGGTAGAAAACTCTTCTTATACTAATATAGGACAAATGTGTTTTTGTGGCTTATAGTTTTTTCCTTTTATCACTCGAAGTACATCCTGATAATGGAAATTTATCTTAGAACATACCGTTTTATTGAGGAGCTATCAGAGCCTAAGAAGTATGCTTAAACATAAAGGCAAAAATGAAAATACTTGAACCAATGCTCACTAGACTTTATAAAATATGATTGCAATAGTCTTCTAGCAAATCCGGTTTAAAAAAAAACTTGTAAAATGTTACATCATCCCTGAAATATCTTAATGATGTGAAACAAAATAATTTATTCTGGATGTAGTTTTTCCTCTTCTTACTTCTGACCATTTTTAGTTCTAAAAGTCAGAATACAGTGAGATGAAAAAAAATCACAGAGTAAACATTACTGTGTATATTTCAGTGTGGCCCTTTTATTTATGTGGTGAATTTTCTTTCTCTAGGTACCCTGGGCCCTAAAACTAAAACTAAAACTAATACAATTTAGTAATATAGCTCTTGTCTATTTGAAGCAAGTAGGACTTGAGACTAAGAAAAATTATTTGCTCAAAACAGTATACTTGCCACTGAGAAAATCAGCCACCAGAGTGGGCATTACATCTCCATTCCTATCTCCACACTTCCCTTAACGTCTTTTAGTGAAATTCTTGCTTCCCAAAAGAAATGAGTCAATATGTCATAGCTTGATTTCCAAGTACTAAGAGACGACTAATTTAGACTTCTCTTTTTAACTGGCATGCAATACTTGTTTCATTGGAAGTTACTAGAAAGTATTTTCTAAAGATGCCAGATGACTGCTTTCTTGTAACTATTTTTTTTTAAATCTCTGTACTTCAGATATGAATCTGAGAAGCTTCAAGATGAAAATTCTATTTTGAGAAATGAAATTACTACTTTAAATGAAGAAGATAGCATTTCTAACCTGCAATTGGAGAAATTAAATGGATCTCAGGAAGAAATGTGGTAAGACATGTACTTAAATTTTCCTAAGGCATTTTTGCAAGAACTAAAACTATTCTACCTGAACTTTTAAAGCCAAACTCTAAGTATATTTTCATTGTCCCTTTAGGCAAAAAATAGAAATTATAAAACAGGAAAAAGCTGCAGTTCAGAAAATGGTTGAAAATTTAAAGAAACAGGTAAGGAGATACTTAATATTTCCCAGTGATTTTTAATTCTGAAATTCTTTTTTTTTTATTTGAAATTTTCAAATTTACAGGACATGCTACTGGAATAACATATAGCTAATGATAGTAGGATTGTAAATCTGGAGTTTCAGAATGAAAACTCACCTCATGCTGATTCTACACTAGGTTTCTACTTCTCTGTGGATATAGTAATGCATATATTATTTCTAGATTCCGAGTGCTTAATGCAAGCTTTATAATCAGTGGGAATGGGGAGGTGATACCTCTAAAACCAAATCTGTGTAATACTAGCTCTGTCCCTCAAGTAGTTTCAATGATTAGCTCCTTCCTCTTTCCTTACTATGATTGAAAGCAGAAAATTAAGGACAGAATTCACAGATAATAGAATACCAGTTAATCAGTATATCTTTTCACAGAATTGTTATTCATTCAGATAGTTGTACCATTCAATTCCCAATTTATATAATCTCACAACATGCAGTTTTGCAGGGGAAGGCCATTTAATCTGTCTGAGACAGTCAAAAGACAAGGATGTCTTGGGATAAGAGTACTTTGAATACTTGAAACAGACAAGGTGTTAACATCCGAAATATATTTTCTACACTTGGAAACAAATGGCAAAAGCCAGCTGAAAAATTAATAATTGATATGAATGGTCAAGTCACAGAAGAAAAGAATACAACAAATAAAAAGATGGTTAGCCTCATTAGTTATTGGAAAGTGAAAATTAAATGAGTTTTTTTAATCTGTCAGATTAGCAAAAATTAAAGATTGATATCATGTAGTATTAAAAAAAAGGGGGGGCGAGTAAATGAATGTACTCATCCCTTGTTGATAGGACTATAAATTGGTAGCACTGTGAGGAAGACATTTGAAGGCTATCAAAACAGTAATGTATATGCATACCTTCTAACCCTGCAGCCCCACTTCTAAAAATAATATTCCTAAACACAAAATGCTACCATGTGTAAATGAATTTTCCAAAAGATGGTTTTGTTTCTTTATAATTAGATTCAATACATTATGGAACATCTTGATACATGAAATACCCTATAGCTACTAAAAAATATAGCATGTGGTGGTTTCTAAATGCACTGACTTGGAAAGATAAGAGTCTGTAAGATATTGTAAGTGAAAAAAGCAGACTGTCCAGACATCTGAAATGATTCAAATTTTTGTTGTAAAGAAGAAAAAAATCTCAATGTGTATATGGGTTTTGCGTATGCATAGACCATAACCTGGAGAGATACACACGTATCCAGCTGTGAACAATGGCTACCAGTGTCAGGTGGGATTGGACTGTGTCACTTCTTCATACACTTCCGCATTGACTGAATTTGTAATAATTACTAGATATTATTTCTGTTAGTGTGAGTGTATAACTTTACATATAAGGGGGAAAGCAATTAGTCTCTAAATCTGTTTTTTGGCAGAAGTAAGGATAACTAGTTTTTAAAACTTATTTCAATTTTAATTAGATTTCAGAATTGAAAACCAAAAACCAACAGTTGGATTCGGAAAATACGGAACTTAGCCAAAAGAACTCTCAAAATCAGAAAGAACTACAAGAACTTAATCAACGTCTGGCAGAAGTGCTCTGCCAGAAGGATAAAGAGCCAGGACACAGCACATCTGAGGAATGGGAAGAAGAAAAGTCTAATCTGAAAGAAGAACTGGAACACTGCAAAGTGCAGGTATGGTTTGTAGCCACCACACAGCCTTTTTGGAGGAGATCCCAAGAAATAAATGTTTATGTTAAGTTTTTTGTACGTAAAGTCTTAATAATTAGAATAGTACCAGCACATGAATAGACAGATAAGTGGAATGGAAAGTCTAGTATAAATGGAAACTTTATTATCTAAATAATAAAGGTAGCTTCTCAAGTCATTGGGGCGAAGATGGACTTTTTAATAAGTGGTGTCTGGGCAACCAAGTAGACATTTGGAAATAGATAAAATTAGATCCACGTCTTATACCATACATAAAGATAAACTCTAAATGGATTGGGAGACTAAATATAAAAAATAAAACTATAGAAGTCCTAGAAGAAAACATGGATGAATTCGTCTTTAGTATAAAGATTTCTCTTGGTATAGAGAAAGATTGTCTAACTATGACTCATAAACCAGAGGCAAAAAAAGAAAAAAAATGATTAAGCTTAAAAATTTTTCATGGCAAAAAAAAAATAAAATCAAAAGACAATTTACAAACTGGGAGAAAATATTTACATCATGTAGGGCTAATATCCCTATTATGTAAAGAACTCTTAAAAAATCAAAGGACTTAGGACCAAAATCTGATAGCAAAATGGAGAAAACACACGAACAAACAATTCACCAAAAAAAAGAGATTTAAATGGCCTCAAACCTATGAAAAAAATGTTCAAAATCACTCATAATTAGAGAAATGCAAATAGAAACAACACTGATATATCATTTCTATCCTATGATATTGGCAATAATTTATAAATATGACAACATATTTTGTTGGCAAGGCTTTGGGGAAACGCACTTTCATACATTGCTGGTGGGGATGTAAACTCATATTATCCATCTTGAGAGAAATTTGGCCGAACCTAACAAAATTACATATGAATTTACCTTTTGTCCCAGCAATCCCACTTCTAGGAGTTTATCCTAAAGATACATCTTCAAAAATATGAAAATTCATATGCACAGTTATTTATTGCATCGTTTGTAATTGTAAAATGTTAGAAATAACCTAGATACTCATACAAAGGAAGAGTGGTTAGATAAATGTGGTGGGGATAGCCCCACTATGTAGTAGTTCTATGAAGCTTAAAAAAATAAATAAATAAAAAGAATGAGAAAGATCTCTATTGATATGAAATGATTTCTAGGACATCCCGTCAAGTGAAAAAAGAAAAGCTCAAAAGATTATCTAAGAGTGTCTATAGTATGCCTCTATCCATGTCAGAAGGAAAGGGACATTAGAAAATACACATATATCTATCTGCTCATTTGTGTAAAAGAAATAGAGGAATGATAAGCCAGAAACTAAAGAGAAGGTTACCTGTAGTGAGTGGGTGGAAAAGGGATGGAGAGAGGAATGGAAATGTTGTAGAAGGGATAGTGAAGGGAGTGACACTCCTGAGTATATCTCTTCATATAGCTCTGATTCTTAGAACCATAGTAATGTTTCACATACTCGTCACATACCCTCAAAATAAACACACAATTAAAAGCAATCAAGATGTGGGGGGATACAAAAATGGAACACAAACCAATAAATTAACATAACTGTATTATAAATGGATAACATAACCACAATAAAGAAGAATTAAGTAATTTGTAAATTAATTATCTTGATTCTAGGGCTAGTCAGTAAGTGAGTTTCTCATGGGGGTGTAGGTTAGTAATTCTGAAACTACTTTGTGTATACTAGAATTGAACAAATAAGTAAATATATTGTGGACAATAAGAACTGAGTGTCTCACTGTTGGAGAAGGAAGTTATAAGTAGGGAAGTGGGGAAGACTGATATGAGCCCTCTGATGTTGGGTTGGCATTCAAGATATTAGTATAAACTCATGTTTCTTAATATATATATGGATGAATAGAGATACAGGTGTGTATACGTGGATGGGGTGCACTGATCTTGGTTTCTATCTACCATAAAAGGAACCAGGGCTCCTAGGAAAAATGATTGGTTCTAAGGCTAGGACAAGGAAAATTCAAGGTGAGCCTGGAATATTTCATGGTGCCAGAAAGAAAAAAGTACTCAAAAAGAGATGGCATGTTGAAAGGACACAGGTCGCAAACTGAAAGAGCTCCTAATGGCCAAAGCTGGAACAATTTCATCAACTAAATAATCATAGTCTAGCATAAAAGTTACAAAGAAAATATAGAATAAAAAAAATATCTATGGATCCATACTGATATAAAAAACTGAATAAGTAAATAAATGGAGGAGAAACACTGTCTTTCTTACAGTAGAATTTCAGTTAATAAATGTAGAAGGAAAGAAGGAAATAGAAAGTCATTATCAGGCAAACTCCAGAGTAATAATTGTTATAGACACTGATAGACACTAAAATTAATAAGCAAAAGTTTAAGGAGAAACATAATTTGCATAGTCTCAAAGTATGTCCCCCAAGAGAAAGATAGTAACTTTACAGTGGAGAAACCTGCAAAAACTACCCTAGAAATCACATTTATGCCATTTAAGTGGAAAGTCTTCTAAAGATAGTTTTAGTTCCATTGAGTATAAGCATGGTCATGAAACAGTGTGGTATTGAATTTGTACTAGTGTGTCCTTAATGCTGTCTTTTGTGAACCTGGTAAGTTTCCCCAGGCTAAATGAATATGTATATTATTTGACTTTTACATTTTTTTCTTAGTCCTCTACTTTAATGTCTTCTCTGGAAGCAGAACTTTCTGAAGTTAAAATACAGACTCATATTGTGGAACAGGAAAACCTCCTTCTCAAAGATGAACTGGAGAAAATGAAACAAGTAAGACTGCTGCTTAAGAGGGGTCCAGGGGAAAGGGACTCATAGGACAACATGTGGCTGATGGTCTAGCTTCTCTGGCTATCAAATATCCTTTTACCGACTTTTGTCATCTAGCTTGTTGCCTTGTAAAGTTGAGGACTTGCAGTACAAGTCTATAAGGGCTCGTACTGTTAATTCTCTAAATGTTGTTTCAATTATGTAATGTACACGTTGTAGGGTGAAATTCTATTACTGTAAATGAATCACAACCACTTCAGTTTAAGAAATTTATTGCTCTGCTTTTTTCTAGCCTGGTAAGAAAGTAATATTATCTAAGAAGAAGGTGACTTTCTTGCTTATAGTTTTAATAACTATTCACCCAGATTCATGGGACACAGGCGGCAAAGCTGGTCTCTCTTATCTCTTTTTCTTATAGCAATCTAAGTATGAGACATCTATCTAAGGCATATCAGTAAATTCTAAAGTATTATCAGGATTGCATTCTCACTTATAAATTTGACTTGAAGAAGCCTATTTCAAAGTTTCAAAGATTTAAGTATAAAAGAGGGTTCACCTTAAAGTTATATTCTAACATTGTCCTATTTTATTTTTTATTCTGAATTTTTCCTTGAGTATAAGACCCTTTCAGTTTGAGCAATCTGATTTATAATAGAATTTAGTTCTACTTTATTTGCATCAACAAGGCATTACTTTATTATAACACCCTTAGATTATAAAATCCTCTTGCATATCTGTTCAGCCTAGGAGCATAAAGCTGTCTCTTCCTGAATGCTGAAATATTTAGTCTATACTACTGAGTGTTATGTTTGTGTCACTCTCTAATTAATTCCTATCAGTCTTGATTTCCTAATTGGATTATAAGACTCTCAGGAAATTTGCATCTCTCATGATACCTAATACAGTACTGGTACTTAATGGATGCTTTAAAAGAACGTTTTCAGATCAGATGCTGCTGTGTGAAGTATATCTGTTTTGCCATAACAGAAGCTGTCTGTCCATATAAACATGACAGAAGTTAAAACTATCAGGGCTCTTCTTTAGTATATAACTATTCCAAAGCTGTTATTACCAAGTCATCCTAATTCGTTTGGGCATACTTTTTTCCTTTACCTTTTGAAAGTCTGCCTGTTGTTCAACCTTTAAGATAATGATGGATTCCAAATCCATAGCATGAGATATGTATGCTTTGTGACTTTGCTAAGCTAGAGATCAGAAGAAAAGGAGCAGAGTTGGGAGTAAAATAGCAATGATGACATCATTTGGCATATTTTATTACATATTTATTACAGAGGCATTGATATAAATCTTGAGATGGAGAAACAAGTGAGCCCTGTCTGCTTTGGGCAGAAAGTTATTTCATGGCACGCTTTTGGACCACAAGAGTAGGATGGTGTCAGCCCATTGTTGCTGCCTTACAGCTTGGACCTAAAAAGCATGTACTGTTCTGTATGACATAATGCCTCAAAACACAATAGCATAAGCAGAAGTCACATGCCAGTTTGTAGACACCCAAAGTGGTACCAGGCTTTGTGGAAGCCCAGAGGTAGAGAAGCAAGTTAGTGAGCAAAGGAGAAAGGTCTTTTATTAAACCAGTGCCCAAGTACTTTAAAATATATTTCCTACATCTTTCTCACTTGTTTAGATTTGTAAAGTATGCCGGATTTGTTGCCAATTGAAGACAAGATTCAACCCTTAAAGGCTATTTTGTCATACTATTAGTAAAACAAAATATAAAAGAATTTAAGATAGGAAGTAGAAAGTTGGCAATAAAATCATAATGATAATAAAGAATTAAACATTTGAAAGCCAAGTGAAGTGGAAGGAAATTTTAAATGTATGAATTGTGGGAAAGATTTAAGAAGTGTAAGAAATAATCAGTCTCTTTAAAGCAGTGTTTGGGGGGAAGTGGAGGTTGTTCCCCTGACCCTTGGACATTTAGCAATGTCTGGGGACATTTTCGATTTTCAGAACTGATGTAGGGTAGGGCTGCTACTGGAATCTAATATATAAAGCCAGAGATGCTGTTAATTACAGTGCACAGGACAGCCCCCCAAACAAAAAAATTATCTGGCCCAAAATGTCAATAGTGCTATGGTGGATGCTGAAAAGGAGCAACAACAACAAAAGTCTTGGGTTTGTCTTGATTCCATAAATGGAGATGAGGAAGCTATTGTGTCCATACTAGCAACATTTTACTCAAGAAGTCAATTTAGGCATCACCGATTATTTTACCTTTAAACTTGCCCTTGTGTTGATATATCATACTTGGTTCATGCCAATTCCATAGTCTTGACTGAGATTTTTTGAAAAAGATTTTTTTCTAATTAAAAAAAGCACGAAGAAAATCTATTGTGCTGTTGTACACAAGTTAAATTGATGACAGGATGGCAGTATGTTATTTTACCCTGAAGGGAAAACAGAAAGCTAGAACCATTATTTAACAATGTCTGTCTGGTTGCGTCTGTCTGAGCAGACATTTTCAACAGTCAATTGGAGAATGGAAAGAAGCTAGCAAGGAACATTTTGTTAAAGTTAATTATAGTCTGCTAGAGTTTATATGTGCTCTGAAATATCTATTGATAGAGAACCAGTAGTAGCCATGAAAATGACCTGTTTACAAGTATCTCTTTATAAATACAGCCATGAGATGTGATGGGGGCTTGTTTGTTTATCTCTTAACAGCTGCACAAATGTCCCGATCTCTCTGACTTACAGCAAAAAATTTCTAGCGTCCTAAGATACAATGAAAAACTACTGAAAGAAAAGGAAGCTCTAAGTGAAGAATTAAATAGCTGTGTTGATAAGGTACTAAAAACAAGACTTTTTACCATTGTTTTACAGTGTGTACCATAATTCTCTATGAACAATGCTATGTGGGCCTCCTGTGTTAGCCTAATTGTTACTAAATCCCCTAGAATAGCATTCAGCAGGTATTATGTTATTAAATACAGTAAGATAAAGTTTGTCTCATTTTAATAAGTAACCATGCCATTTAATATATATTAAATATATCACTATTCTACTTACGTGTAATACAAATATATTATTTAATAATCTGATGTCTATTACATAGACACACACTTTTTTTCTATTGTATTTTCCCTAGCAAATCCAAAAACACTGTTTTCGTCCCACCTGCCTTAATAGGCATTTCGTATTTTCCTATTATAGTACCCTTTTTTGAGATTTCTAACTGCCTTCCAGTCCACCATGTCTCACCTACAAAATACGAGGCAATGAGAAAGAAAGAGACTCCTTAAAATTAAAGGTAGAAAAAGGAGTCAGTCAGGAAAACTTCTTTTACCTTGCTCTGCTCCCCCATGTAAATGGATGCGACTTGATCTTTTCAGCATAAGTGGAGGCATGTAAATTGAGGCTAGATATTGCAAAAAGTACCTGTTACTTCTTTTCTTTTCCTGAAACAGTTGGCAAAATCCAGTCTTTTAGAGCACAGAATTACAACTATGAAGCAAGAACAGAAGTCTTGGGAACACCAGAGTGAAAGCTTAAAGTCGCAGCTAGTGGCTTCACAGGAAAAGGTACGTGGACAATTCTTGTTTCATCTACACGGTTAATATTTTCCTATATCTTCCAACAGAACTCCCAGTGGCAAGAATGTTCCAGGCGGAAGTGGCCTAAGAAGGCTCAGAATGATTCAATTTGACTAATATTTGATACATCCTTATAGTATGGTGAAATAATTTGAATATTTTTCTCAAAGTTCATTAATATGAGATTATCTCATCATCATGAGATTACTTATATATGAAAGCTTGAGAACAGTGTGTAAAAAGGACTCCTTGTTCCTAATTTAGAAGTAGGATTTCTAAAGCAGGTCCATGCGCTATTATAAAGACTTCTATCAATTTTTTTTACAAACTTAACTTTTTTTAATTGAAATAATTGAGATATTTGCATGGAGTGGGGTTCTACAAGTACATATTTTTATTTTCAGCTAAGAGGATCTTTATAAACACCACAAGCTAAAACATAATTTGCATAAAATTAGATAAAACCATCTTTTGTGATGTCAGTGGTACTTATTGGTTCTGTAAGATGTCACTTGGTAATATACCAGATGACTATATCAGCAGTACCTTGCCCTAGGCATAGTTCGTCATTATCCTAAATATAATTCAACATTCTGTAAATATGCATAGTATACTGGGTTTCCACAGAGCTACTGTAAAGAGTCGGATATAATAAGTAGAAACAGCAGAGACCTTGGCATTCTCTTGTCCTAGTTCATTCATACCAGGACATGGTGTAGGTGAGACCATGAGGATTTGGGTCACAGTATAAGACTGTTCTCCTGATTCAGGTTCAGAGTTTAGAGGACACCCTGCAGAACGTAAACCAGCAAATGTCCCAGATTAAATCCGACCTACAAGTGACTCAGCAAAAAAAAAGGAGGCTTTAACAAGAAGTAATGTCTTTACATAAGCAACTTCAGAATACTGGTGACAAGGTAATTTTCTTTTTTTATTGACGTATAACCTACCATAAAAGTAGGCATTCTCTCTTGGTGATACTTTTATTTTTAACTGGTTTTTTTTGTTTGTTTGTTTGTTTTTTTGTTTTCTTTTTAACTGTTTTTTTTTGCTTTTGTTTTTTTGTTTTAATAAAGTAGTTGTTTCCATTTTTAAAAATTACTTCTGGGCTGACATTTTTCTCATAAAGTAGTTGTTTCAATTTTTAAAAATTACTTCTGGGCTGACATTTTTCTCAGGATGAGATTGTAATTTTCTTTTTTGTGTTTTGGCTTAAAAAGCAAAAGGCTTATCTAGTAGTGCCACCTTTTTTACTTTTTAAAGCATTTTTCAGGATCCAAAAAATCACTGTGGTAGCTTAAAGCATATTCCTGTGTTCAGGCCTCAGTTACATGGACAATATATGCTCTGGAGTCTAAAAAAGGATATGATTGCATATGTGAAAACGAAAGTAGAACTTAGCTTGTGAAAGCCTTTCAAGTTAGCAGTGCATTTCAGAGTTCCCTCTGTGACCTCTGTTAACCAAAAGAGCAGTTATCTCTGTTCAAAGCATATCTTCATAAGAACGAGGCAGTTTTTAAGGCCAACAGTCTCTATGCACTTGCGTCCTGTATGTAACTGAGACTTGCCCTATAGTCACCTTTGCTATTAGACTTGATGGGGCTGTTTTGCCAAAGACCATTTTAAACAGAGAATTTATAAACCTTTTTTTAAATCAAACTCTGATAATATTGTTTTACTGATAACTATATATACATACACTCACTCCCATTAGAAAATAAAGGTGAAGGTGAAAGGTACTTACTAAAAATTGCTGTCATTAAGTAATGTAATGGCTGTGTGTAGACCCAGAGGGAAGATAGAGTAATCAGGAGGATCAATTCATAAACTATATACATGTCTAAACAATGTACTGTATACTTGAAACTAATAATAAAAAAATTTTTTTTTAAATTACTGTCATTAGGTAAATATGACAAAGTAGAAATCAGCTTGTTTTTAAGGCTTCACTCTGCAATTCTCTCTTAAGAACTGGGCCCCAGGAGTAGCCACCCACATAGCAAGATTCTGTAACCAGGAGCAAAATCTGTCTTGGGACAAGTTGGATCATCTGAGGAATGAGGAACAGCAGCTGCTTTGGCAAGAGAATGAGAGACTCCAAACTGGGGTACAGAACACCAGAGCAGAACTCACACACTCCCGGGAGAAGGTAGTTTGTAAAGTTGCACATGGTGGCGTATGTTTGAAAATGCTTAGTTTGATATGAAAATGAACGTTTGATATGATTGAAATGGTTCTCAGGTATGGATTTGAGTATTCTGCTATGGCAGACTTATTTTAAGAATGTATAATTTATCTTTTCCTTTATTTCATTTTATCCTGATAGGTTTATACAATACTTTTCATTTTGTTTAAGCAGTTCTGTATTAAAATTTGTGATTTTAATCCTCATATCCAAAATATAGACTCATGGAAATTATGTTAACTTCCTCATTCAAATAGGCTATCCATCAAGACTAGTAGTACAAAAATGGCAAAACTAGACTCAAATCTTGTTGGTCTAACTCCTTGTTAGAGAAAAGGTACCCCCTTTTAAAGGTTACTTCAAGGTTTAGAGGTTAGAATGGCCGTTTAAAGATTATATTTAAAATTTTCAAGGTTAGAATGGTCTTTCAACCACTAAACTGACATTTAAATTCTTTACCTCTGGTACCAACCATGTTTAACTTAAATACGTCTTTCAAGGAGGAACTCTCTGAAGAGCCACAGATATTCATTTAGAACATCTACTCTGCCTGAAACTCTGTTGTCACTGAAGTTGCAGTGTTGAACAAGACAGATATGGTCGCTGTCCTCATGGAACTTGGTTGATGTAAAATATTGTTTCAGGTGTGAACAGTCCAATACAAAGTTGATGGGCCCATCACCTCATTCACTCCTAAAAGTTATGCTTAGGTAACAGCAAAAGTGCTTAGGACTGTTCTCTTTACTCCTAGTCGTTTGGTAGAGCCAGAAGTCCCCTTCTTCCCTGTCTATTCCTTACAGTGTTGGGTTTTTAGACCTAACCAGACCAAAAATAGATTTACCTAGAAAGGATCTTTTGAAATCCAAAAAAGTAGGCTTTAAGAACTGGCAGACTTGACTGGAAAAAAATATATATTTTTAATACAACACCCAAGCACTGAATAAAACCTTTACTTATGTTTCTTATTTCTCCTGGCTAGATGATTATATTAATATTTCGTCCTCATACATTTGTTCTCTTTAGGTTCGTCATCTGGAATCCAGCCTTCTTCCCAAGCACCAAAAACATCTAAACTCATCAGGTACTTTCAAGCCCACAGAGCAGGAGAAGTTGAGCTTAAAGAGAGAGTGTGAACAGTTTCAAAAGGAACGATCTCCTACTAACAGAAAGGTAAGTTTTCAAGAGTTTATACCATGTGTCCATGTTCTGATTAGGTGTAACAAAATGTGTGTTTCTTCCCCTGTGTGCTTCCAAAGAAATGACTACAATGGCAAAATTTGGTTCTTTCTTGTACTATACTATGCTTTTGTGTCTTGTCAAAACAGTATCATACTTCTTTTTGATTGATTGAGTGATGGTTGAAAAGGAGCAATTAACTTTAAGCTTTCATAAAGAAGATGGTTAGTTATCTTCATTAACATTACAAAGCCTTTATAATTTAGTAAAATATATAGGGCCTGAATATTAGGAATATCTTAAGATCTGTATTATCTATTGATGTATAACAAATTAAAACAACAAACATTTGTTGTCTTACAGTTTCTGTGGGTAGGAATTCAGAAGCAGCTTAGTTGAGTGGTTCTGGCTCAGGGTCTCTCATGAAATTGCTGTCCAGATACCAGCTGGGGCTGGGTTCATCTGAAGGCTTCACTGGAACTAGTGGATTCACTTCCAGGTTCATTCAAACTGTTAGGAGGAGGCTTTTCTTGCTGGCTATTGGAGGCCTAAGCTCCTGACCACCTGGGCCTTTTCTCAGGACATGGCAGTGAGTGAGAGAAAGATTCTGAAAGAGCTAGATGAAAGCTGTTGTACCTTTTATAAGCTAATCCCAGAAATGACACACCATCATTTCTGCTGTATTCTACTGGTCACACAGACTAACCCTAGTATAGTGTGGGAGGGGACCATGCACAGGTGTGAAGACCAGAAGGTGGAAATCATTGGGGACTATATGGGAGGTTAAACCTCTGTTGCACAGTTCAGTTTACTTTCCGTATTTGGTTCCATGAAGAGTTCTAAACCAGTGTTACTTTGGGAGTTCGAATTTTCACTGTTATCTTCCTCTTCTGAAAATTGTGGTTTGTTTATCTGGGGAGAATGATGAACTGCCATTTCCTTTGTTATAAAAACTTTATTAAAAATGTTTTTAAGTTTGTGAGTTATGATGACCTTTGGCAGTAAGAAGACTGGGCGTGCTCTAAAGCTGAAATGTCATTTAATTTTAGGTACATTCAAGTAAACTTTTCAAGGAAGACCATGGGTTTTATCCAGCTGCTCACAAAGGGAAAAGTCTAATGATAGGTCTTAGAATAACAATGAACTTAACTGTACCTGGAGAGATTACACTTCGTTTAAAAATACTTGCTACTCTCCTTCAGTCCCTTTTGATAGAAGCAAAAATCAACTTTTTAGAATAGTGTCATGTTTTCTACTTAGCAATATTCTGAATTCCAGTGTCTTCATGTAATAGAGAATTCCAAAACTTGGATATTCTTAAAATCTTCAAATTTCATCTTTAAAATGGAGAAAGGAGTTATAGAAGTCAGGTTTTACATACTCCAAGTTTTAAACCTTTTAACTTTGCCTTAAGATAGTGCTTTTCCCACTGCAGATCCATATAGAAGATCATGAAATTGATTTAGTGAAACATTAGCATTTTTTATTAATAAATGGCTCATCATAAGGATAAGTATTATTTCATGAGTTTTCTTTCAGTGATATATATTTATAACTGATTATGCATATATATGTACACGTGGGTGTGGGTATATTGTCTGGGTTATGAGATAAAATGTATTTCATACACTGAGTGGCATCAAAGTTTGAAAGCCAGCTGCCTTAAGTTATCTATTCTACCTAGGAAGACCATGTGCTGTAGGTGTAAAAAATAAAAAAATAAGGAATAATAAGCTAACAAGGTCCTTGCAATCTGTGAGGTCAGCCAAGGATTGCCTCATCTAAAAAAAAAAAAAAGTTATCTATTCTTTGAGGAGTGGTGATTAAAACTAGATTACTTAGATATAATCAATGCACTGAATTTTTTTAAGATAATTTATTTTTTAATTACAGTTGACATATATTATTAGCTTCAGGTGTACAACATGTCTAATAGTGATTAGATATTTATATTCCTTACAAAGTGATCATCTCAATAAGTTTAGTACCCATCCGACATCACACTTATTTATTAAAATATTATTGACTATATTCTCTAAGCTGTACTTTACATCCCTGTGACTGTTTTTATAACTAGCAATTTGTACATCTTAGTCGCTTCCCCTTTTTCATCCATCCTCCCTCCCATCTGGCAACCATCAAAATGTTCTCTGGATCTGAGTCTGTTTCTGTTTTGCTTGCTTGTTTATTGTTTTTGAGATTCCACATATACGTGAAATCATATGGTATTTGCCTTTCTCTGACTTATTTTACTTAGCATAATGCCCTCTGGGTCCAACCATGTTGTCACAAATGGCAAGATTTTATTCTTTTTTATGGCTGAGTAATATTTCCATTAATGCACACATTATATTGTTTGTTTTCTTTGGAGGAATGAACTCAGCTTTTTTCCAAGATTTGTGATTTCTGACTAGCATCAATTTGTTGTAATAAAGTAGAGGAACTCCATTTGGGTTTTTTGTTTGTTTGTTTTTGTGTTTTAAAGGGAATTTTTTGTTTTTTAACAGATCTGTCAGATGAATTCCCTTGAACGAGAATTAGAAACCATTCATTTGGAAACAGAAGGCCTGAAAAAGAAACAAGTAAAACTGGATGAGCAGCTAATGGAGGTAAGCTTTTAAGCAAATGGCCTTGGCTATGGAGAATATTTTAATCCATGAATGAGGCATTTGTTGAGAGGGGCTAGCACAGCACTGAATTTGTATCATGAAAAAAGTGAAATGTAAGTATGCTGCCAGGCTGAATTCTTTGGCCTATCTTACTGAATTTAATGGACATTTTAGCTTAATTAATAGTCATAGGAATTCATACTGCTTCACAGCAGAAGTAATGTTAATTACCCTAAAATATAAGGACCTGTATATCAGCAAATTCAAGTGGCAGAGACTCTGTCCAAAACTGAATAGAGGTCCCAAGCTTTCTCGCCATTGCTATGGTTTATAACGGTTTCTTGACACCTCCCATGTTGGATAGTGTTTTATCAGTATGATCGCTCTCTAATGACCTCTTCAGTCAGGAAATCTGTGCAGGGTATTTGAGAGCATTAGCATCGAGAAATTTAACGCTCAAGTGTTGCCACTGTTTATTACCTTAGTAACTCAGCACTGCCTTGTGAGAGGTACATCTGTTAAATATAAAAATGGATTTGTAAAATTTGTCAGCTTGGACATTGGGGTTTGGTTTACTAGATTGCTTTCTGAATACTTAGAACAATTATAGGCTGTAAAATAACTAATATACAAATCCTTAATAAGTTATAATTTCATTGAGATATTTTGCTTTGGGTAGATGAAAATATTAATCTAATGTTTAGTGAACTGTAAATTTTATATAAGGTAGAGGGACATGGATAGAAAATGTCTTTTGTGCTCTGAAAAGTACTATGTATACAAATATTTTTAAGCCAGAATTATAAGAAGAAAAATATTTAAATATTTTCTTCCATGAAGCTGGGCACGTGCAAAGGTAGCTTTACATAGATACTTGGATTTTAAATGTGAAATATTGGCAAACATATCACATTGACATTTAAATGACCACTGAGGTTGTCACTTTTATGTTCTCTGATTTACCCACTAATAGGGAGATTCTTGAAACTCTAAATTGTGAAATCTAAACCATTTTTTTTCCCTCTGTCAGCATATAATAAAGGTGATCAAAACCTTGAGCTATGGGCTGTGTTTAGATGTAGATATGTTCTTCTGATGAAATTATTATAAACCGTAATGAATAAGATATCAGTCTAAGCCTGACCTGTCTAATAACAAATTGCAAGGTAACAGGATATTCTTAATCGCTGCTAGATCCTCTCCAGACACTGCCAGCAACCAATTCTCCCACCTGCTCTTGCTGGCCTCGGAAGCCTCCTTACCTCCAGCCCTACTTTAGGTTATTAGCAATCATAAGCAATTTCCCCTCATTTTCTCCCTGATCTAGTAGTAAATATTTGCTAATGGATGAAGGAAATTGAGTTTCTTGGCATAGAGCTGAATAAAGAAAAAGTATAAATTTTCAGTTGGAACACCGAAAAGAACATCTTACACTATTCTTACAAAACTTTCTTTACGAAATAAGACTGAGCTACTAACTCTGTATAGATCTATACAAATTGGATTCTATAGCAGTCTTACTGAAATATAATTCACATACTATACAATTCACCTATTTAAAGTGTACAGTTCAATGGTTTTTGGTATGTTACATTAATTTTAAAAATTGTAAATATTCATAAAATTTGCCATTTTATCTATTTTAAGTGTACAATTCAGTGGTATTAATTATATTCACAATATTCTACGACCATCACCACCTACTTCTAAAACTTTTTCATCACCCCAAACAGAAACAATAACCACTAAGCAAAAATCCTCCCTCACACCAGCCTTACAAATTGGATTTTTATTTATGTTGTCCATAGATTAGGCCAATTTGGGAGATATACAGTGGTTTGCATATGGGGCAGGGGACAGGCAGGGAGATGTTCCTACATCAGAATCTTTGGGTCAAGGAATTTAAGAAAAGCTTTCTGGGTGATTCTGACATGATGTATGCATTCCCTTGGAGGAAAGAGCCTCTCCTCGCCCCTCTATGACAATTTAAAAGCCACTGATCTGATAGAGTACATATCCCTACCCCAATGTAAGTAAAGATCCCAAATCACTTGACTAGGAAATGGAAGAATTCAACTCCTACTGCAGGGCTTTTTCAACTATATGAGGCAATGTTCTGTAAACAATTCATTTTGGACATTCAAAAAAAAAAAGGGTTACAGACTATGTCAGTAGTTCTAAAGTCTGCTGTGTACCTATGATAGCCAATAGTTCAGACACTTGAACAACAAAATTGTTACAGTTTATATTCTACATCTGCAAATGGCAAGGTATTTAACTGGAGAGTCATTCCATACTGGACCAGGAATCTTCTAAATAATTATATTGGGATGAGTGGAGATAAAGGTGCCAAAGCTTACAAACCAACCGAATTACAATACGTGAGGAAGGGGTTGTAGGATGAAAGCTATATTTTAAGTAAAATTTATATACAGAAATGTAAATGTTGGTCCTTTATAAGTTCTTACTGACTAGAGCACACATATTCAAGTATATAATACACTCAATTTATACTGTTCTTTCTCTTTTTATAACTCATACTTTTCTTCTTTTTATAACTCCTGTAATTTTCTTTTGTTTTGTCTGTGGCTAACCTGTACCTAGAATTCTGTGGTTGGAACTAGCAGAGAAGGGTGCAGTTCTCTGCCTGAGATAGTGTGTGAAGGTAGAACATTCTCTTTCAATGAATTGCATAGCATGGAGACATCTCATTAAACTCCTTGTTCATATAACCATTTCTACTGACTATAACAGTTAATAAGTACTTAAGGTAAGAGCCAATATTCATTTTCATGTAGAATATGTCTTTTTATACTTATATCAGGATTTTCCTCAATATTTAAAACTCAGCATTTGAAGACCTGTGTGAAGAAAATCATCCCACTGGTATAAAATCATGGGATCATAATTCTCCATATACTTTGTTCCTGAAAATAAAGTGACCAGTTTTCAAAATCTATAACAAATATTTCAAAATGGGTGATGGCCCATCACAGAAATTTATATTTAAGGAAATGGATAGTGGCTCTGAAGCTTCATGAGAATATTTAATTATAGTTGTATCCTAGAGAACCTTTTTCCCTTCTTACAAGCTGGGAGGTACCTCTTCTTGAGTTTAGTACTTGGTCACATTTGTTGCATGCCTTCCATTGAGCTCTGTGTCTGCTGAATGTGTTGACAGATGTGAACTGGCATGCTTCACTGGCCAGATGCAATGCATTCTCCTTTTTCCTCTCCCCAGCTTTGATTGGCATATGATACACATACCATTTCCTCATTGTCTTGAACAAATATTTCTATTCCATGTACTTCATTTCCCGGATGTTCTGGGATATCACTGGATATCACCTCATGCCCCAGAATTGCCTGTCTTATTATGCTATTTAAGAGTACGACTGATAAACGTTAAAGATTTTGTAGATGCAAGATGAGATTCTTTGAAAAAAAATTCAGCCGTTTGCCTATTCCAACTCTGGTGGTGGTTTTTTAAAGAGGGATAATCAAATGTTCTAGTGTCAGGAAAAATGAAGTGGGATTCATATTGTGTACCTCATACCCTAAATTCATATTATGTACGTCATACCCTACAGTTAAAGAGTGAGGAAGCATGTTATCAGTGAGTCATAGGCTTCATTACTTTCTGGTTGACACTTTGAAGGGCAGCTCTGTGATTGAAGGCACTGTAGCTGACCAGGGCCTTGCCTTTGTCCTCCAGATGCAGCACCTGAAGTCCACTGTGATGCTTAGCCCATCCCCTCATGCTTGGGATCTGCAGCTGCTCCAGCAGCAAGCCTGTCCAGTGGTGCCCAGGGAGCAGTTTCTGCAGCTTCAACACCAACTGCTGCAGGCAGAGAGGATAAACCAGCTCCTGCAGGAGGAACTTGAAAATAGGACCTCCGAAACCAACACACCACAGGTATGAGGCTCTTGTTTCTCCTCTAAGAGTAAACTCAGATTACCTAATTTAATTTTACCTGTTTATTTAAAATTATACCAGTTTAAAAGTGGGACTAGAGAACATAAATCTTCTGTCAGAGTTACACCGTACCTGATTACAAATCTACAGAACTACAGTGGCTTTATTGTTTTGTTTTTGTTTTTTTTTGCAGTGCTGTTTTTGAACTCTCAGCTTCCAAGCTGAGTAATTAAATGTTCTGGGTCTCCTTTGCACATTCATAATGATAAAGTATCAGGATCACTTGAGCATAGTGCACAATTAATCTAATATTTTTGCCTAATACCAAAAATATTATAGAATTCAAGTGCAACTCTAGGATATACATTGCTAACAAAGCATCTTGAGTTTTCCTGTACCAGAGGGCTACAGCCTGCTGAGAGTTCCATGGAATTCACAAGTGGGGACTTTTCACAATTAACAAAGAATGTGTAGTCAGTGCCTCTTTTTAGTTGACATAATAGTTCACTTTGAGTTTTTCAAACTACATCATTCAAAAAATTATTTTTAAGAAAATAAAGATCTTCTTCCCCTTCCCTTTGAAATTAGCATTATCCCAGCTCACTACCAGGCACAAGTTTATATTATCTAGGTTTTCAAATAGTTATTTCTCTTTAGTGCTTCATTCATAATCATCCTTTTTCAGAAGTCTCTTAACTCTTTGGTCTTGCCTATTTAGTTTATTCAGAATTAGAAATAAAATTTTTAAAATAGTTTGTAGAATTCTGAATTCTTTCTGGTTTGGACGCTATTCTGTTTTCAAATACCCAACTCATTTAATGTAATCCCCTCAAAGTAGCTTTGCAAAGTCACATGAACACTATAATGATGTACCAGAGCAGTTCTCTTTTCCTCTCCTAGTAGATATCTATGCTGTGATGATGTACTTCTGTCATCTTTTTTTGTCATTTTTTTAAAACTCTAATCCTTTATTCCCATTAGAATACAATGAATTTTAAAAGATTTAATTTCGTTTTGCAAAAGTCTATATAGTATTTATTGACTCTGGGGAAACATGATTTTTTTAAGGATAAGAAATTAATGAGTTGATAAATCACTTAAATAAAATATAGGTTCTGACACAGAATAATTCTTTAAATTCTAAACAGTAAGGCATATGAGAAGAGATAACTAGAATTCATTTAGTGTTTAAAAAGCCATTTTAGTTAGAAATCACATCCTACATTACAGGTGTCATTCCAAGAAGTTTCATTTCATTCTCTAGGACAGAATGGACAGCTCTGAAAAGATGAAGTCTGGCCCTGGCCACTTCAGAAGCACTGTCTCTTGTGTGTAGTGTTTTGTGTGCCACACGGCAAAATTTCCAAAGAAACTTAAAATTTTGTCTTTTGTGCTTTAAAATCTGTCTTCAGAAGCTTCTTACGTTCTACTTCAATTTCCAAATATTAAAGTTAAGTTCTTGAATTAAAATCGTAAAGATAGGGTGTTGGAGAGAGGTTTCAACCCTTCATTACAGAATTATAAAATATTGAGATCATTATAGGATCTCAACCTTTAATGGACATTTTAAACCAAATTTTATAATTCATTACAGAATTATAAAATATTGAGATCATTACAGGATCTCAACCTTTAATGGACATTTTAAACCAAATGATTAGGCTAAGATTCTACTCCTTGCTTTGTCATACACTATTTCCAAAGCATGTTCTTCTCAACCAATGTTTTAAAAAAAGATATCCCATTACTTCATTTACTTCAGGATTAAGTAGACAAAAAAGGTTAAGTTTTTTGTACCAAAAAAATAATTCCTCTAGCCAGGATCTCAATCTTTAATGGACATTTTAAACCAAATGATTAGGCTAAGATTCTATTCCTTGCTTTCTCATACACTATTTCCAAAGCATGTTCTTCTCAACAAATGTTTTAAAAAAAGATATCCCATTACTTCATTTACTTCAGGATTAAGTAGACAAAAAAGGTTAAGTTTTTTGTACCAAAAAAATAATTCCTCTAGTCAGATGGCAGGGTGGACTACTTATTACTCTCACTAGAATGCCACTACAGGTTCTCCTGTTCCTGGTAACTGAACTGACACCAATTTTAAGATTATTAGAATCTGCACGTTGTCTTTGTGTGTGGAGTGATGTGATTTCTTCTGCCTTGTGTTGCTTTGCTTGCACATGTGGTGTTAATGTGTGTGCTTAAGAATTGTTTGCATTATAAATGTGTGATTTAGACTCCCCCCAAAAAACAATCTGGACATCAGGGTGAAGTGTACCACTTGCCTTCTTTCTCTAGGCCTTGCTACCGGAGCAGCGAGCAGTGCATGCAGATTCCTACAGAAGGATTGGGCACCTGTGAAAACTGGGCTGCTATTGATGGCATTTCTTACCATGACAGATATTCATATGCACACACTCACACATACCACACAGAGACATAAACTGAAAAATGTTTTGGAATCAAGTGCTCTTTTAAGTTATGATGACGGTGATGATAATGATGCCTTTGCAGTATTATGTCTCTTATTTATTTATGTAGAAATGACAGATTTTGTGAATAGAATTCACAAATTTCAGCTTGTTACAAATTTTATTTATAACATTTAAAGAATGTGGATTTGAGATTCTTGAAAGGATGTATTCTATATATTTTCTCATTCCATATGTTGTAACTATTTTTAATAAAAGGTACTACTTTTATATATGGAATATGAAGAAAATCAGGGTTATTTATACTGTTTTGTAGAAGATGTACAATACTTTTTTGACAGGAAAAAGAAAAATTTTGATGAAACAATAAAATAAATTTTAAATATATGACTGCCTTTGTTTTCCCTCTTTCCCAGCCTTTTGCCATACACCATGTTCTTTGAATTAATTACCTGTTATTGTGGGGGGGTTTGTTTCGATTTGTTTTTTTAAGGCAAGTAGAAGTCAGGCATTTTTCATTTTATGTTTGAACTTTATATCTTTTAAAATATAGGATTTTTTAATGCTAGATATTCTCAAGGCCTGATTTCTTGAATATATTTTTTACAATTTTCATCTTCAAATCAGTCACGTATATAGTTGTTTATGTTTGAATAAATGCTATTATTTAATAACCAAACAAATGTTGGCTTTCAACTCATGTTTGGTCATTCCACATGCTTTTTAAAGGATGCCTTTTTGAGAATATTTTTAAAGGCAGGTTATGCCATCAGCCATTTGCTTAAACGCTTGAAGAACCTCTTAAAATCTGAAATTCCTTACGTGGACATTTTGATGGACTTTAGGGAGGGACAGTCAGTTGCACTCTAAATCTCTCTCTTGGTCCCTCTGTTCTCCCAAACCCACATAATCCTTAATCTGTCAACTGCTGTGTGAGGAGAGGAGAAGCTCGGGCTCTTTTCTGCCCTAGCTTGTTTCATCTAGGAGTTGTTTGTGGGGAGAATAGTTTTAATTTTAAATCTGTTCTAATGGTAAACCCATCCTCCAATCCAGATGTTTGCTTCACATTGACAAGTCAGACTGGGAAACAGACGAATAGAATAATTGGCAGGAAGAGGCTGATTATCACGAGGAAAGAAACACAAACATGCTCACAGTAAGCAGGCATTTCAAAGAAAAATCAGAGGCACCTACTGCAAGCCGATTGGAAATATTAGGCAATCCTGAACAAACTCAGTTTCTGTTTTATTGTTGAGAGGCCCACAGTATTGCAAAGACCCAAGTCGTAATTTACGTTAATACCTAATTTACTAGACGGGAACACAGGTATTAAATTATGGGTTTTAAGAATTTTGCTTTATCTCAGGGGAAGATGGTAACACAGGTAAGATTTTTTTTTAATCTTTGGTTCTTTCTCTGATGGGGTTACTTTTCTAACATGCACAACCCATGCAGAACTCCCATTTCATCAGAAATCCACCATTCCTGTTACAGAGGCAGACATTTGCTGTCCTTTCTCTAGGCATCTTATGGGGAAAATAAACTACTAGTGTTTTCCTTTCAGTGTGGCATGATTTTCAAATGATAATGCTTTCTTTTTCTTCCCTTCAGGAAAACCAAGAACAACTGGTAACTGTCATGGAGGAACGAATGATTGAAGTTGAACAGAAATTGAAACTGGTAAAAAGGCTTCTTCAGGAGAAAGTGAATCAGCTCAAAGAACAAGTGAGCCTCCCAGGTCATCTCTACCCACCCACCTCACAGTCCACTTTTAACTCCAATTTTACATTCCTTTATTGCCATTAATTTTTGTTGTCTAATAAAGGCAAATTCTGTGAATGTATAGGAGAATTTAGGATTCACTCTCCCCATACCACTTCAAAAATAATGTGTTATACATTATTTTTTTTCAAAGTTCTTGTAAGGTACATGTTCATCCACAATTTTTTAAAAATGTATTTGTTAACAGTGACTCAGGTTTTTGTTTGTTGGGTGTTTTTGTTTTTTGTTTTTTGTTTTTTTAGGCCCAACACAGGAAATATCTCTAGTTAAATAAGCAGAAAATTTATACTGGTAAAAAATTGTAGGATGTTAAATAGAACTTTAGCTTTCATGTTTGTAACAGTTATGACAACCTCAAAAAGTACTTTATGACTATAACCAGACTCAAAAGGCTATGCTTTGAATTAGAATCCAGACCCTGAATTCCAAGACTGCTAAGCAGCTTGAGCCTTTTCACCTGCTGGTGGCAGGTGTGGCCTGTTTAGAAATTATATGTGCATCCACTGAAGAGACATGCAAAAAGGAATACTTTCTAGGAAAGTTTAATAGCTTCTCTGGAAACTGAGATTGAGTTGAACTGATGGGAATAGGAGGGAGGAAATTGCCCTACCTTGTTTTCTAGATACATTAAATTTAAGAATACTCTCAAGAGAGAGTCTTAACACAGAGGTAGATAGGAACTTTCTTTTGCCCTACATCTTAATACACAGAATGGAAAAAAAAAAAAAGTCCCCTACAGTAAGCATTTATTGGATCAGTCTTTTCATCCATTTATTCAACACATAATTACTATATACCAGGTACTGTTCTAAGCATTAGAGATACAATAGCTAACAAAAAAATCTCTGCCTGTGTGCATTGTAGTTCATCTACAAAGTACTGAGCACTTGGCTAGGTAGTAGTTTTGAGAATTAAAGGAAATGGGGTCTACTCTGTTTTCAGTAGAGGGGAACACAAGAAATACTTGATCCAGTCCCCAGGAGTTGAAAGAAGGTTTCCCAAAGGCCTCTTAACCTTAGTATTGAGGGTCGAGTAAGATTTTAACAAGTGAAGAAATGTGGGAAGGGCATTCTAGGCTATGGAAACATCATGGAGTTATAACAACAAATGGGTGAGACATCTACGAACACTGGCGTTAATAGTTTGGCATAACTCTGTCCTGAAAGAAGCAGAAGAGAGAGAGGAGCTAGCAGTAGAAAGCCTTACATGTGGAGCCATGGAGTTTGAATTTCATTCTGTAGGTGATAAAGAACCATCAAAGTGTCTTCTAAGGAAAGGAAGGGAGGGAGGGAGGAAGAAAAAGTTATATTACAACAGTTCAAAAGAGAGAAGATTACTATGTTACACTTGCCAGTCACCTAGGTTTGGGGCTTCTATAGTCTTTATCATTGCCCTGTGAAGTGCTAGTAAATTAGCCACTCTTCAGTTCTTTATCCCTATCAACATTTATACTTTCAGATGCCCTGCTTGAAATTGGGTGTAAAATGAAGAGTTAATGAGAGAAGGGAGATCAGAAGATATTAACAGGAGCAATAATAAAATCATCCCGAAGCCGCTGACAAGTTTTTCCACTCTAACCTAGATTATATATACTAACCACAAAGATTAGACTGTATCTTCTAGACAAGGCTCTAAGCAAAAGAGGAAGAGTTAAGGAAGAGTAACTGCCCAAATCTTATCTCTTTGTTATAATACATGAGCCAATTTTTTAAATAATCAGGAGGTTGCATCTGTTGAAAACAGAGTTAAACACAGTTCACACCCTATACCTCAGCAACAAGTTATAAAAGTATTTTGATATTTTTAGAGAATGAATAAAGGAATAATACCTAATTTATTTGGGAAAAAAACTTTCATTTTTGAACCCTCAAATATCTATTTGTTCTTTTCATCAGAGACTTCTAACATATTATGCCAAGAAACAGCTTGAAATAAGTGGGTTTGCTCCACTCGTATCTCTGATGCAAGTCTGATGTTAAAGCTTTATTGTAAAATAAAAGAATATAATCGATAGAACCCATTTGCCTTTATTAAAAAAAAAACTCTCCTTATGTCAGACTTCAAAGAATTATGGAAATGGAGTCAAGATGTTTTTGGTTCTGTTTCTAGCTCTGCAAGAATACTAAAGCAGATGCGATGGTGAAGGATTTGTATGTTGAAAATGCCCAGTTGTTGAAAGCTCTGGAAATGACTGAACAGCGACAAAAAACAGCAGAAAAGAAAAATTACCTCCTAGAAGAGAAGATTGCCAGCCTCAGTAATATAGTCAGGAATCTGACACCAGCACCATTGATTTCTACACCTCCCTTGAGGTCATAGCAAAGCCAAAGGATACATTCATATTTGCGCACTTTACTTAAATGGATGGAACATTTCAGTAGGTTCTCTCAACCTTTTTTTAAATTTAAAAAACCTTTAATAGCTTAAAGTTAAGCCTAACCTAAAACTGCCAGCAACATAATTGGAGTCTCCATTCATTGTAATGAGTTTTCCTAAACAGACTCTAACAGAAGTTGCAAACAAATATTCACATATTTTACTGTTTGAATTATTCCCAAGTTTTGAATTTTCAAAAAATATTTTAATAGCCACCAAGAAGGTAGATATTGAAAACGATTCAAGAACCTTAAAACCCCAGTTGTGAATGAGTTTTTAAAAATAATTATTATGGACAAATCTCTCTAAATTCCAGATATTTTAAGTTTGAGATCTGTCATTTTGATGTTTATTTTAAACCCAATGTGTGTCTTCTTACACACTTAAATATGGAAAAATCATTCTGTTTCTAATAGTTTGAGTTAATTGGTAGACTATTTGGTAACAGAAACTGGACTCAATAACCATTGAAGTCAGAAAAGCCAGAGTCCATAGAATTCTACCTTCTAACACCTGTAACCACTCTTGATGTAATACAGATATAAAACTGGTATACTCAACTGGACTGTTAATTAATGTTAAAACTTAACTTTCTTTAAAAAGCCTTTTTTTCCCCTTATAAGTTTTCATTTGGGAGCTTGTCTTCTAACAATGGATAAAGCCACATTCTTATAGCATTTGAACTATACGAAAAGCACTGAACAAACCACTTTGAAGTAAACAGCTACTCTTAGGAGTAAGCACACCATATAGTTTTCTCTCTAAAGTATTAGAGTTCATGAACTTACATTTGGGGTTGCCTCAAGAACTCAGGGAACAATACTTTAATAACTGTCTTCCTGAAATACTGTAGGGCCTCTAAGAATTTGAAATGTATAAATCATATGATCTTATTTATTTGTCTTATATTTAGAACCATAGTAGAATTTTTATTTCTAAATTTTTAGTGACTGTAATCTTCTGAAAAAAGGGCCTCGATTAAAGAGTTAAAAGCTTCTTCTAACTTATGGAAGAATTATTATAATTTGCTTATTTGTGTAAATAGGTCAGAATTTCCATACTTCCTGTTCTTCTACACATCAAATATGATAAGAAGTTTTTACTGTGATAAGCATTGGCATGTCATTCTGAGGTAAAGGAGTGCCAAATAGGATTTCTCATTCAGTCTCAAGATCAGAACTACATAGAACAGTAAACATTTTAGGTTGGATAACTTTTTATCCCACAAGTAAAATCTAGTTGTAGCCTATATCAGCCAGGTATTTATTTTTGTGGGAGAGCAATTAGATTTTAAAAAATGCACTTTGGTGTATCCCAGGAAGGTCAAACCCATCAATTTATAAGAGGTATAACAGCAAAATCAAACTTTTGTAGACAGAAACAAAAGATGAAGCAAACTGCCTAAGAAGTCATATAATGTCAGAAACTCAGTCTGAACAAAATAATTTTCATAAAGGAACTTTACAGTTCCTCCAGGCTTACCCATATACTATTAGTCCCACCTGCCAACTCAGGAGTACTCCCTGTAAGAGCCCTGACAAGGCATGGTGGTTTGTGGGACTGGAAGTTCACATTCATAAAGCAAACCTTTTCATTTTTGGACAGCTCTTATCAAAAAGTCCTGATTTCACCCTGGAAAAAATTTTAATCCTTCCCTAGCATTATACTTCAAAGCCTTTGATATTTACTATCATCCCTTCCCTCATCTTCTCTTCCAGTGCAAATATTACTAGTAAATGCAACCTCTTTTACAGCATTGGATTTAACAGAGAGTCTTTTTCACTTAAAACTGAGTAGGCCTAGGCTAAGCTAAGTACCTGCAGTGTACTTATGTGATACGCTTCAAGTTACTCAAGGTTATTGACATCAGAACTGAACACCAAGCATATTTCTCAAATAGCTGACTTAGCATGTTATCGCAAGTGTTGTTTTTCATTTTTTACATTATAAAAACTATGGGTTAATTTGTTTATTTCTTATAAATCTGTATTTATATGTATATAAAATGCTGTATAATGAATGTGAATATGACTCTGGAAAGTTTTAGACTACATTTAGAATCCCTTTATCCAAAATCAAAATGCTGCTCAAATGAAAGTTAATTTAACCAACATCTAGGTGCTTAATTCCTTACTTTACACTTATAAGATTGGGAAAAAGATCAACATGAGAAATACATAGTTACCTTAAATTTATACATTTGTGCAGCAGTTTATTTTTGTAAAGTAGTTTATAGTGGGAATTTAACTGGCAATTTATAATATTGCTTATAGCTTTTAAAAGACCTTTAAAAGAGATTAAACTATTAAATGTTTAGATTTTGCTTTCAGACTTTATTATAGCCCTCTTTAAAATCACAAAGTATTATTTTATAAGTGTTTATAGCTGTTTGTTTATTAAAAGCACTGGTTAAACTTTCTTTTGATTTCCTAAGAACAGTTATTTAAATTGTCTTAAAAAGATGGGATCTTCATGTCACAAAGTTTGCCTTTGTGACCATGTGTTGCACTAAGAGGAAAATACAGAGTAGTAAAAACTAAATTGTTCTGTTTTGCGTTCTTCTGCTTTTTAGAAGCCTGAGCCCTTAAGCCCAAATTTCTGAAGGGAGAGTAGAAGGGGAGGGGTAGAACAATCGCAGTTCTTTATTTTTCTAAAACTCTTAATAAAACCAGGTTTTAAAAACTATTTTAAATGCAAATCCTTCCCAGAAGCTTCAAATGAATTGCTTATATATTTAATCTTAAACATATTTTACATAAATAGATCAAGTCATAGGCTTTCAAGGTATAGGAGGAACTGTTACAGGCCTAGTATTTCAATAATGTACCAACACCCAGGGCAGGTATTATGGTAAGAAACTTTTTCTGGAGAATGAGTAAGACTTTATGGTAGATTTTAACATGTGAGAATGAATTTTTTTCTTTTTGTAATTTCTTTATTTTCTGAGTGAAGGAAAAGAGAAGTGTGTTGCTATTGTCAGCATCTCAAAGGTATTCCCAATCGAGGCAAGTACTGGTTTTGAACGGATTATGTGTAATGACTCATTGGAATGATAATTATACAAGTAAGCCAAAAACCAAGTCAAAGCCTAATAACCAAAGCATTCCACATTTAAAACTTATTCACTATATCATGTTTGAACCTATTTGAACATCTCAGCATTGTAAAACAGTTTTGATTTTATGGCATGTAGATAGCTGTTTAATAATAAATCCAAGTTAGCTTTTCGTTTCTCAGCTTTTCCAAAAGATATATTAAATTTATTCTTATGGGAAGACATTATCACTGCATGATTTAAGGGAACATTGATTTTTGTGAAGGAAAACTTGAGTTCATATAAAGCCATCTCTAGGATTCTTCTCAGATAAAGATTAATATGTATGTATGTATTTATATCAACTTTATATATTTCACCTTAGCCATTCTATCCTAGAAAGATTTTAATGTGAGCTCAAAATGTAAATAAATAACTTTGCAAACACGGCTCTTGTTTTCTATATACCCTGAACTTTTATAAATAGTTGCAGTGTATTTATCACTGGTATTTAGAGTGAAAGCATCAAAATTTTGCACTAAAAATTCTGCAAATGCAGAATCTCAGCCCCGACTCCAGACCTAATGAATCAGATTATGCATTTTAAAAAAGACCCTCCAAATGATCCATATGTGACTTAAAGCACTGGTACTCCATTTCTGTCACAGAATTGATGCTTTCACACCAGCTAGTTTGTGTTTCCTGTCCTTGATATGGTTCATAATTTACTTCTAGAATCCTGATTTAATCAGGCAAGGCCCTGCTTGGGATTTTGGGTGCTTCAGAGGTAGCTTTATTTCACTTTGCCACCTTTATGGATGACTCAGACTTTTTTAGTTGAGCGGCTTGTGAATGATGAGCTATGTACAGTTAAAGACACAAAAGTTAACCTGAAAGCACATTAATATGCTGAATACTGAAATATAAAATAGAAACGTTGGCCAAATTAGACCCATCTCATGAGCCTTGTTTTATTTTCAGATCTTTTATGCCAACCTCACGCTACCTTTATGAAGCAAGAATTACTATTATCCCCATTTTACAGATGAGAAAAGTGCAACTTAGCAAAATTGTGACTTACTCAAAGCCATATGGCCTGCTATGTAGGAGACTTAGGACCCAAGGCTCAGGTTTGTCTGTATTAATATGTTGCAACACGTATCAACTTCTACTTCTGGCAAACAATAGCTAATCAGTGTAGACTGAATAACTACTATGTGCACTACACTCTAAAGAAAAATATAAAACACTCCTGACTTTCTGTTTATGATTTGATTGGGGTAGACTAGTAAGATTTATGAAAAAATTTTAGGAAAAAATACATTCATACATAAAATTAATCAAGTTTTGTTGATGGACTCAGTCCTGTGAACACTTAAGGAAGTTTAGTGTCTTCAGGTATTTTAATGTAGAAAATGAGGAAGTTTCTTAACCTAGTATTAAATGTAAATCTGAACTTCATTGAGATTAGCGTAACCTGTGTCTTTGGAGTCTCATTCATTTTGCATTGAAAAGGCCATATTTTCTCTCTAATATTTTCCCATAATACTGGTTAAATTTTGTCCAGAAGACCAGAATTTTGACAAAAATTATGCAAAATGTCTAT